GGGAAATTGCAGAGAGAGAGAGAGGGAGGGAGGGAGGGAGGGATGGAGGGAGAGAGAGATGAATACAAAAAAGCCAGGAAAAAATTACCAATGAGCTCTGCATTCCAAAACACGTCATCAGGCAGAAAAAGAGTCTGATAATAGCATTGATTAAAGGGGGAACAGTGAGCGTGTGGGAAAGGGGAGCAAAGCAGGTTTCAGACAGGAAGGCTTTGAGTACAAATGAACACCCTGTGATGCCCTTCGAAAGGGAGTTTATCCAGAAAGGAGAAAAATGGAAGAGGCTGCCAAAAAAAGAAAGAGAAAAAAGGAGGGGGTGAGGGAGGTGTATTTATCTCCGTACAGCAGTCAAGCGTTTTGTGAATTATTCTGCTGGATCAAACTTGTCCAGAATCCTGTCTCTGCGAGTGAGCATCTGGGTAGTCCCTGGGAAGTCCAGGAAGGCAAGCAGCCCCCCGTCTCTGTTCCTAATGGTAGAGTGCTCCTGAACACAGAGGCTCCAGTGCTCCTGTCTCACAACCAATTGCCTCTGAGAGACCCATGCATCTAATGCTCTCAGAAAGCCATCTGAGCTAACGACTCCTGGCCGCCGACCATGCCGCTGCCAAGAAAATTGATTATGCATTGGGTGAAGAGGAACTTTTGTCTATCCTGAGTTTATTTATCATCATATAAATTAAACCAGGAGTCTCTTGAGTCCTGGTATTATGAGAAGGGGGTGGGTTAGGGTCACTGTATAATTTTATTTTATGCCTTTCCCTTCCCTTCCTCTTTTTCCTTTTGTCTGGGGAGTGAAAGCCGCAGGGAAGAGGGGGTGTCCCTCACTCCCACTCCCCTCACCTAGGGATGGCGTGGACAGGGCATTCCGGTGGGCTTCCTCTCACCAGGTCGCCATGAGTCAGAGACAGATTGACCACACATAACAACAAGTCTTCAGCTGACAAGCAAAGTGAAAATTCTTCAAACGGGTGGTGGGAAATGCTGCCCCTCCAGGCGTTTTGGCCAACGAGTCCAATTATCCCTCTCCATTTAAAAAGGAGACTGAGCAGCACCACAGTCTCCACCACTTGGGGTAATTTTGATTGCTGTTCTCTCTCCCAGATACTCTTTTTGAGACGGGGGATCAGAAGGGAATGTGGTCTTCCAAAATCCCCCTTTCTGTATTCCACAGTTCATTTATGCACTGGAGGAGAGACCGGCTGTTTCAGATGCAGCCCGTCCTGATAAAGGTGCCCCGATCATTCTTAGGCACCTGGATGTCTCTCTTGAATAGACTGTGCATACGTACATTCTATACACAATGCCTTTCCTCATTCTCAGCTTGACGCCACAGGATTCGGATAAAAAGCAGCGTATCTGCTTTCTGAGTAAAACAGCCATTCTTTGCACAGGAAAGCTCACGCCTTCCCCCTTTTTTTAGCGCTTCATACCTCTGATAGGGTGCTTGCAAAGGTACATAATTTGCAGAGCAGGTGGCTGCAAATACCTTCCCCACATTTAGTTCAAATGCACAGTCCTCTCTAGGATGCTATTCACGAGGAAGCAGGTTTTCAGAGTCGGCTATGCACAGCTCAGACTGGCCAGAAGCTGTACCACTGCGACCACTCCTTTCCAGAGCAGTTCAGCTTGGTCCTGTGATTGTAACTGCACTTAAAGAAAATTGAAGGGGGCAGACATATGTGGAATTCAATGAACATGCAACCTCTCAGATAAAAAGAAACCTAGGGAGGTTGACTGGTGGGCACCTCGGCTTCATGCTTCCATGTTAGTCCTTCAGATGCCCTTCAATATACATTTGATTCATCTCTTGGTTGTGTAGATAGTGGGGGGTTTTTAAACCTCATACTGAAAAAGAAAAAAGCAGCAGTGCGCGCACACACAAAGATCACCACTCTCTTCAATTTCAACTGAATTAAATGTGATTCCACTCCCCCCACGTTGCTCAGTTTGGGGTCTCTCAGGTCTCCATTGTTGGGTTTCTAGGGCTGCCATCTGATCAAGAAAAGTCAGGCCTGTGTGCTCCTGTGCTTGTGAACAGGAACCTGCTCAGGAAGGAGAGCTATAGACAGGAGGGAGAAATGGCTTTGGACTGACCTACTGCTGAAGCAGAGGGGCAGGGGTCCGTAAGGGCCGGCAACCAAATTTGGTGAGCAGAAGGAAGTGGATCCGAGGCACAGAAACAACACACATATATTTGAGCAGTGGGTAGATTGGCGAAGCAAGGGGAAAGGGAAGGGAAGGGAAGGGAAGGGAAGGGAAGGGAAGGGAAGGGAAGGGAAGGGAGAAAAGAAAAGAAAAGAAAAGAAAAGAAAAGAAAAGAAAAGAAAAGGGGGCTCTGCTCTAAAAGGTGGGGAGACTGGGCTTCACAACTGCTTCAAATATCCCATTTCAGCATCCTAGGAGGAAAAGGGTGCCTGCAGGATCCAGTCTTGTGAACGGCTTCAAAGCATCCTGAGCCACACCTCCGGGATTAATCCATGGATAAGAAGCTGGTTATCCACTGGGCTTCAGGTTTCCCAAGTGTTCTGACACAGCTCTCAGCTCAAGGTCAAAAAATATCCAAATGTATATTAAAATCAGCCTGTATCAGAAGGGCGCTGAGCAGGGAAAAAATCCCTGCCCCAAGGAACTGAATTAAGAAGCAGAAACTGCTTCTTGTGTTAACCCTTTCACCTTCGTGCTGTATTCCCCATTAAATTCCCCTTTCGCCTAATTTGCTTTCCTTCAGGGACTGGGGAATACGTGTCTCCCCTGTATCTAAAGCTAATAGCTTCAGCTGTTGGGAGGGGGGGACACTGATCATAGGAAAATGAAAAAAACATGTCCCCCGCCCCCCATGCATTAAACCCATTCTCTCCTGCCCCTTCACTGGATGCCTTGGAATTACTTAAAAGAGTACTGGGTGACCCAGCCACCTGACATGCTGCCCATCTTTAAAATTCAGATGATGCAAAGTGTGTATGTGGGGAGGAATGCCCACCCCACACACAGCTTTTAAAGCTGGTTGGAAGTTTAAAGCACCCATGCCTGCACTGGTGGTCCAAAAGGTCCTGCCTCGTGGGTCTCCAACGGCACGAGTCAGGGCAGGAAGATTTCCCCGGCCAGGGCATCTCTCCTCACAAGGGCTGCGTGGGTGTTCAAAGCCCTCCGTTGCTTAGCAACTCCTAAAGCGATCCCGTAAGGAAGAGAAGTGCTACTTCTGCACCCAATCGCAGGCGGCACACTGGTCCCAGAGTGGGGGGGGGGAGTGCTCTGCCCAAGGGTGGTGGTTGTTGAGGGGGAGAATGGGAAAGGGGAACTTGCTATTCAGCCATCAGGCTACCCTAGCAAAGCTGCCTCGAGCCCATCACACGGGTCCCAGTTCCCAAGCATTCATTTTTAACCTGTGGCACTTTGGGCCAGCCACTGTCTCTCGGCCTAGCCTACCTCACAGGGTTCCTCTGAGGATAACTTGTACAGGAGGCACAAGGAGAATTGTGGGGCGGTGCGGGGGGGGGGGGGGAGAGAGCTATCAGTCTAATAAATAAAATCCTCTGCAGACTAGCAAAAACAACTCTTCCACAGGTTAGTTGTGTACAGAATTTACTGTAAACCCACAGAAAAGTGCAAACTAACACAATGGTACATATCTCTATATTTCAACTTCCTTTTTGTAAAAAAGAAGAAATAAAAAGTAACAAGAAACTATAGTAGGTGTTGCTTAAACTTATCAAACCCCTGTTAACAGTGGCAGGCCTGGGACCTAAAAATGAGAAATAAAGAAGTGCCATTTGTGCACTAGAACCTTGTGCCAATCTGAGTGCAAATATACGTGAGCTGGTGCAAGCGTAATACTGATGCAGGCATTTGAGTGTGGTTCCAGATATCGGGCTGACGCTTTCATGCTCTTCCTACCACCCTTGCATGGATCTGCCACATGCCACTGCCCCACACACTTCCTCCCTCTCTTCACCTGGCATGCAGTGAACGCAACCAGGATAAGTAGCCCCGGTGCTCATGTCACGCCAACCCCCAGGTACAGCTGGAAGGGAAGGGCGAAGGAGTTGGTGGGGTGACAGGGGTCCTCGAGAGGAGCGCTTTCAGGAGGACGGCCCCACCAGCAGTTCCTTCCTGAGAAACCGTTTCTAAAAACGTGGCGCACAAGAGCGATCCAGCCCAATGGTGGGCTTGCACGGGTGTGTGGGAGCGAAAGCACCCCCCACTGATGCAGGAAAGCGGTGGTGAGACCATCCGCAGCCTCGGCCTTCGAAATATCCCTGGAGGGCCACAGCTGCAAAGGGCTGGCCGACACGGGCGACACCTGCGATGGTGCGGAGGAGAGCAGGGAGAGATCCTGCTGCTGAGCCGAAAGGGGCAAAGCACACAGCCCCCTCCCCACCGCTTTTGCAAAGTAATAAATTGCTAGTCTCGAGGACCACTCCTTTCCGTGGCTCCTGAGAGATTATGGATGCTGGGTGGTCCAGTGAAGCATCAGCTCTCGCTCAGGAGAGCTCTCTGGCCCTGGCCAGAATCCTGTGGCCACCTGACTGGAGGGGGGGGGGGCTTTTGTGACTTCCTCTGACCTTTTAAAAACCATGCACGTCTCCTGCAAGGGAAGCCTCCACCCCTAGCTAGGCTTCCGGATGAATCTCACAGGAGGAGGCGTCTGAACTGGAATCTGAGGCGCCTGGAAAACCCTCCCTGAGTTCTTGCACATCTGTGGGCTCTGTGGGTCCAGGCAGGACCGATGGCTCAGCTGGTGAAGAGTCAGTGATCATTCTTCTTGTGGAGATCTAGGAGGAGCTGGTGTCCGCTGCTTAGACTAGCAAATGTTGGTTACGAGGCATGGCTAGCTAATCGGCTGCACAGCTGAACTAGGCAGAGCTTTTCCAAATGTTCTGAAGTGTGAAACTGCAGAGATGCACTGCTTTTATGCCCAAGAGGCACCCGCTGGTTGCTCAGAAGAGGGGGATCCACTCTTCCTTTTCGGAAATCAAAGAACCGGTCCGTTTGTTCCTTACCTGATGGGTTTTTCTTTTCATATTTCTGAAAGTCAGGACAAGGATCTCTGGGAAGAGGGAGAGGAAGATCAGGCAAAAGATCCCCAGCCAGATGGTTGCGGAAGTCAGCAGCTGTGCAAAGACGTGGAACATTCTTTGGTGCTTCAGGAAAGGCCTGGATGGAGAGAAAAAGGGGCACACTGGTGCATGATGTGTGGACAAGACCCTTTTGCCGCAATGCCTGTGATTCACACATGGCATCCAGATAAAGCATTTAGAAGTGAGTCTCCTCACACAAGGAGGAAGTTGCTGCACCCGGGGCCTGCAAGGAAGGGCTGCTTCGGGTTCCGGATGATAGCCAGGCTTTGGCAGGAAACATATTTTGTCCTCCGCTTTGTCCCCACCGCCCACCCCCCATTAGCAAATGTGCAGTGAGGGCTCCATTTTTATGAGCAGTGACTGGACGGGTAAAAAATGGCATATAAATCTATTAAATAAATAATGTTTCTAAGCCATTGAGTTTCTCCCGGGCCTGAAGACCCCTTCCACTTGTCACTGGGCTGTGAACGACGGGTTGCTCACTGTGGTTTGTTACCTCGGCTGGGTTCAGAAAACAGGATAAATCCCGGTTTCAGAAACTACCTACAGTTCAACGACAACCCATTCTCAACCTGCATGTGTGGTCTGAACCCGCTCACCAGGTTTTGTAGCGAGTGGGTTGATAGGGCTGAGCTCCCACCTGCCCCATCTACCATATTACCTCTAAAGAGCTTTAATTATTTTTGAAGCCCTCTTAAACTCCACTCTGTGATTTGTAGTAGTGAATTCTTTGTATTATTATTTTAATCAACAGCCTTTCTTTCTATTTACCCACCAAGAGTCAGCTTATGAGAGCCGATGCGGTGTCATGCTGAAGAGTGCTGAACTGGGACGCAGGAGATCTGGGTTCTAATCCCCAGTTGGCTATGAAAACTACTGGGCGGCTTGGGGCAAGAGACTAACTCTCAGCCTAGCCCACCTCACAGGGTTGTGGTTGCGAAGAGAAAATACAGAAAAGGAGAACTTTGTAAGCTGCCTCGAGTTCCTTGCAAGAGGAACAAAGGCAGGATATAAATGCAATGTTGATGATAAAGTTACAGAAGAAAACATCTCATCTATTTGACACTTTTCTCCAAAACTCTCCTTAAGGGAAACTTCAGCAATATGCATATATAATAAAATTTGAGGTGCTGGGTAGTGGAGGACTCCCTGACTGCAGTAGAACTCACTTAGAGAAAAACACTTACCAAATGATTCCTCCCCAGAAAAATGAGAAAAACACATAGAAGATCAAGGAACCCCAGATGACGAAATGGTTTACCCACGTCCAGTATCGTGTGTCTAATGCCAGCTAGGTGTGAAACAGGAAGCAAAAGCAGCCATGTTACCAAACAGGATTACTGGAATAGCTGAACACCAAGCAAGGAATCTGGATGGCTACAGTCCCAGTAACAACCCCAAATGTAGAAGGAACTCTAACCTTTAGGGTGACGGTAAACACCAGCACAGTAAAGACCATTGTCCCAAAAGTCCAGTTTCCCGCCATCTGGAAAACACAATCAGTTCAGAAGTTTGCCCTGTCAAGTGTCGGGGAAAAGGGTGGAGAGCATGAGGGAAGCAATGGAGGAGCTGGAAAAGATTCTGCTTTTCACAGCAACAATATATCCCAACTGTAATGGGAACGTGGCTTATGCCTGCCACAAAAAGCAACACATCTTACAAACCAACACTCAGCGTTTACTGCCATCTTTTAAAAATGAACCTTAAGTCATAGTGCCCTCTAGCTATGAAATCTAGAGGAGAGAAAGCCGGTTAGCATTTCCTTGCACCACCACCCCACTCCTTTCTCTGACTCAACATGCCCCAAAGAAAAAGCAATATTCTGCATTTCAACTGAGAGCAAAGCCAGGGGATGGGCCAGTTTGCTTACTAAATTCTGTCAGAATCTGAATGCATACATCGAAGCAGAAAGTGGCAGTTGTTTTTTGTTTGTTTGTATTTCTAAAAGAAAACGGAAGGTCAAAATCGAACCCTAACCTAAAACTTGGCACTCACCCTTCCCAAAATGTAAATCCCTCCCAATCCAGAAAGCAATTTATTCTAACTCAAACTGTAACACACATCCTTTTCCATCTAGATGGAATGATCAAAGGTAGCTCAGAGGCTATTCTGTTTGATCGCTTACTCTGTCCACTCCATGGATGCTGGATCCAGCCTTTTGGATCTGTAAAGGGACCCAGGTTGTTCTCACTCCAACCCAAGTCCAAACTGAAAACTATGCCTAACCATTGATGGAAGCAAAAAGCATTTCCACAACATAGAAACAGAGTGAGCCAGAAGGGACCTACTGGGCCATCTAGTCTGACCCCTGGCTCCAGCCAGCTCCACTCATGAGATGCCTACCATGTACATGTCCAGCCGTCCTTAAACACCCTCACCAATGGGGCCTCAGCCACCTCCTGTGGAAGCCCATTCCATGCCCTAGGGGTCCATCAGGAAGCACTTCCATACAGAATCTTGGTTCCTTGAGCTTTGCTCCATTGGAGTGCATCCTGCCCTCCACCGCAGGGGAAAAAGGGTCACGAGCCACCTCCATGTGACACTTCTCACATACCTGTATGTCGCTAACAGGTCCCCTCTGAGTGTCCTCCTCTCCAAGCTGAAAAGGCCCAGCTCCCTCAGTCTCTCCTCATCTGGCTTCCCCTGCAGACCAGCCCATCCTAGTGGCCCTTCACTGCCCCGATTCCAACCTTGCTCTATCCCTCTTGTAATGAGGGGCCCATAATTGAACACAGGACTCCAGCTGTGGGTGCCCCAGAGTCATATAGAGGGGCAGTAACATCTCTCTCGATCTAGAAGCCACACTGAATGCACGGCAAGAGGTAGCCTGCAGGCAGTCCTTCTCAAGCGCTCACTCTGTAGGCTAGTTCCAGGCCGCCGCATCTGTACAGATGCCAGATTTCATAACCACAACCAGACGTGAAGCAACCCCAAGCCCTAATAGGAAGCAAAATCCTTCTTCAGCAAGTCACACCCAAAGGCAGCACTCAGCATGCTTTTGATGAAGGTTTTCTAACCCTAATTCGAAGCGGAACACTAATGAGGGATTGTAGTTCCATCACTCTTCATCCAGACAGAGGAGTAAAATGTAATTCTGGGGCTGTTCTGGTGGACATCTTACTCTGCCTGCCCAATTCAGGCCAGATCCAGGCCCCCAGACCTATATAGGAACACTTGAAGATGTACATGTTTCCAGTATAAAGTCCAGCTTTCTGCACACTTTGCAAATGCATGTGCCACATGAGAAACCCTTCTCTGAAGCTCTCCCCTGCCCCCAGCGCATTTCGAAAGCCTTTTGCCCTGTGGCAGACAAAGACTCTTTGGAAGGGGCACATGGGTGGAAGAGGGTGCCCTGTCCTTGGGCTTAGCCCGGGTAAGTCTGGCTTCAGGGACGCTTTCCTCTTACCTTCCCATTGTCCTCCACAGAAGCACTGTGGAAAAGAAAATACGTTCCGAAGAAGAACATGCAGCCATTGAAGAGGCCCAGGAAGGTCCAGTATAGGAAAGGCTTCAGCTGCAGCATGGCATTGTCGGAAACATTCCTGCCGAGCAAAGCGCAGCAAAAGAAAGAGTTTAAATCTGCGTGCCAAGTGCAGAAAGCAACACAGCAAAGAAGTATTGTGCATGGTGCCTCTCCGGGACCTGCGAGGTGAGCCAGGCAGGAGGATGAAGCCTGACTTGATGAGCCAGGAAAGTAGCAAAGGCTCTCTAGTCACAAGGAAATCTGTGAGCCCCAAATGGCCCTTACCTGGATGGGCAATGCCTAGCAACGGTAACCCATGCACTGGGAACTTCCTGACCAGATTTTTGTAATGTGCTCTACGCGGGGCTGCCCTTGAAGATGGTACGGATACTTCAGTTGGTCCAGAACAGAGCTGCCAGGACAGGGCAGGGACAGGCAAGTCCTTGCATATAACGCTGGTCCTTTACTGCTTACACTGGCTGCCAGTTGAAGTCTGGGCCCAATTTAAGGTGCTGGTGATGACCTATAAGGCCTTGGGTCCTGGGTACCTAAAGGAGCACCTTCTCCCCTATATGCCCCCCACCCCTTGAGATCTGAGGCGGAGGTCCTTCTTCAGGAGTCCCCCTTGAAAGAGATCAGGAGGGTGGTTACCTGGAGGGCCTTCTCTGTGGTGGTGCCCCAATTATGGAATTCGCTCCCCAGAGAGGCTTGCTGGGCACCAACGCTTCTTTCTTTTCAGCACCAGGCAAACCCCTTTTTATTCTCCCATTATTTTAATGTCTAATTGGTTTTAATGTGTTTTACAATGCATGCTGTGCTAATTTTAATTTCTATTTTACTTGTTGCTTGTTGTAAACCATCCCGAGACACTAGCATAGGTACGGTTTATAAAAGCTATAATAAATAAATAAACAAACAAAGTTATGTCTTCCGGAGCACATGGCTCTCCCGCAGAAAGGAGATACAACAGGAGTGGGAGATGGGAGTTCAAAGTCCTGCTGAGCCACTGTGGGCTGCCATATCCTTTCTGTTAACCATGCCCAAGCCAACCTTAGGATCCCCAGCTCATTGCTGGGTTGTTGTTTTCAGGTATCTTGCTGTGATGTGCAAACCATTTGGGTAGTTTGTTGGCATGGACTATGCAAGCGAGAGCTGCAAAGCATCCAGCCACACCTTGCTAGTCTGGTAGCGCCACCTCAGTGATGCACAAATGACACTTGGGAATGCCCTTAATGCAATTGGAAACTGTTTCTTTTTTCTCCCCCCCGCCTTTCACTGCTTCACAAGAGCACGAGAGAGGTTAATAATGGGATTAAAATGCATGAAACAAAAAACTGAGACGTATGCAATGGTCATACCATGTTAGCCGAGTAATAATGATTTTAAAAATTTACAAACCCAATTTTAAACTTCCCAAGGACTGGAGGTTCTGGACGTAAATTGCTGGAGGATTCTGGGCATAGTGATTGCTCAGAAGAGGGGTAGTGATTTGAGTGGGGTGGGGTGGAACCAGAAAAGTTCCTCTTTGTAGTGAATATTAAGATACAGGAAGGCTTATGTTGCAAAGCCCCCTGGGAAAAAGACAAGCCACCGAGCTCCCAGTTGCCTGTTGGCCACAAAGTGGGTTAATAAGCAAGTAGCCAACCCTCCACCCTCTCGTGGGCCATGCAAACTCGCCCAGAGAAAGGGCAGCCTTTTCAGGGAAGGCTCTAGGGGGAGCCGTGGGCTCAGGCTCCCTCTGCTGGGCTCCCGTGGCAACTCTGTTCAGAGAGGAGTTCCAGAGAACAACCATGTTGCTAAAGAAATGTGGGGAACATCAGAGAAGCTTCCTGGGGGCAAGAGGTATCCTAGAAAGCTGCCTTATGCCTACTCAGCTCGGGGGTCCAGCCAGGCCAAGGCTTCCACATATTTTGCCTGGAAACTGCCTTGGGCTCTCGGACCATGAGGGTCTTTCTGTGGCTCCATTTTCCAACCAGTGAAGCTGGGATGAGTTTGGCTCTTGCTGCAGGCTCTTCCTCTTGGGCTGGCCCCATCCTCCAAAAAGAGGAGGAGAGCTGCTTGCTCAGAACCTGGGAGGAAATTCTGGCCCGAATGTGGGGCCAAGCCATTCTGAAGAGGATGGGTTATCTCCTGCCATCTTCTTCTCACTGTCACTCCCCAGGTGTTTTAGGACAACCACTCCCAGAGCTGCTAGGCTCCAGTGAAAACCCACGTCTTTCACATTATTGGTTCAGCCAGGTTGGGAGTCAGTCTTCAAAGTAACCCTTTTCACAGGTTTGGCAAAGGCAGACCTCACAGTCCGGTCCTGTAGGTTCAACAATTATCCAGCTGCACTATCAATCCACTGATCGTCTTCTTAGGATTAAGAAACTGTGAGCCATTTGGGGCACACATTTTCTTGGATTCTTTGCTATGATAAATTGGTTGGTGTGCTACTTTAATTTATACATCAATGCCTGCTGTCCTTGCATCCTAATCCTTTCCTTCCCCCTTTTCTATGTCCAACGCAGGGCTCAGGCGATGTCTCAGGTAGTTTTTCTCCTAAATCTAGGAGAGTCTCTCCTCACTAAAACGCTTCCATGCACAGTTACGACTTCTCAGAAAGACAGGCAATGCAGGTCTCTATATATGAAATGAAAACAGCGCATGGGTATGAAATTAAGCCTGCTGGAGATCAAGGGATTCTAACAGAAGCATGGCACGTGATGCCTCCTCCCAATGTGATAAATCTACGGGTTTTAAAAGAGTTTCGCTTTGGCAGGTTCGTGTCCAGATGACGTGTTTATGCAAAAGTCGACAACTGAAATAGGGGCCAAGTGATGCTTTCCAGCAGTCGCAGGCTGTGCGTCCGTTCCTCCCCTTCGCTAGAGTGTTGCCACTTCTCATCAAGGCCAAAAGGGGCAGAGCTTTCCTGCTACGTGGGGAAGCAATCAGTTTCAGGTTCAGGTTCGCTCAGGGCTAATTCTGCGGTTGAGAAACCCCTTCTTGCCTGCCCCATGAAGCAGAAGCTGCTGAGTCCTGCAGGTGCCGTTTCCCCATCCCTTCCCTGTGGGGAAGCAACAGAGCTGCAGTGCAGCAAATGGGGAAGCTGAGGCGCAGCAGCTTCCCAAGACCTCGGTGCACAGGGCCTCGCTTCCTTCTGTGGGTGAATATTCAAATTGAGGCCATCATGTTTTTTGCAATTAGATTGTTTCCCCGGCTCTGCTCCTGTGACTGGATGAGTCAGGAAAGCCGCTCTTCGCAAGCTATAAATAGCCAGCGGAGGAGATTCCACGGCACTTGGCAGAGGTAAAAGGAGAGCAGGGGAGCAGGCGCACCTGGGCAGCCCCGCTTCCACCCGTCCCCTTCCTTTTGCTGCATCTGCAAATGCTCTGGATGCAGACAAGGATGCTGACATCACGCCAGGCACCTGGACAGACAGCAGCAGCTGGTCTGCGGGAGCAAGGCCAAGGGCGCTCTTTCGGTTTTGACGGCTCACTTTGCCAGATGTGTGGCTAAGCGCCCAACGTGGCTTGGCTCACAGAGAGGTGGGGAGAGCTGCTGCCACAGGATCTGTGCAGGTGGCAGCTTCCTACAGTGCCAATCCTGCACTGGGTTGCCTCCACCTAGGAGAACAGAACATGCAGGCCACTGAAGGGTGCCAAGAGGCGACAACTGCTGGATCACGATGAGAACTTAGTAGGACGCTTCTGTCCAGGTTGTTCAAACTCCCTCAAGGCACCAGCAAATTGTTGGCTGGTTTTTAATCTACCAGAGTTAAAATGTAGATACTTCCCAGCCCTGATCTATGGACCTATAGCAGGACACGCAATGCCTTGCAGACCAGGAGGAAAACAGGAGAAAAGAGGAGAACGCACCGTCACGATCAGCATGTTCCAATGGCTATCAACTACTCTGGCTGTTGCCCATGTCACCATCATCCCCAGTGCCTTTACTGGCATCTCCAGTTGCTTCCTCTGAAGTATGGCAGGAAGGCCAGCCAAGGGAACCTCCTGCCAACAGGCGAGAGGGCATCTGCCCATTCTCTGTGGTCCATTCAGGCTCCCCCAGCCCAGTCCGAGAGATGACGGGAGCTGCTTCCACAATCTGTGGACTGAGTGTTGCCCTCCTGAGGGTGCAACTGTTGGACCACCGGAGTGCAAAGGGCTGCAGCGCTCCTGAGCCAAGGCACCCAGCAGCCAGTCTCATGGGCCGCTGGCACCAGAGTCCTTGGGCAGATCCTAACCTCTGCACCCGGAGGGCACTGCCCAGGCCGAGGTCCCAGACCCTTCCTGAGGGATGCTTGCAGCCAGCAGGCCCCCAGTTGATCCCAAGCATCAGAGCAACATGGGGGAAATGCCCACTCCTGCCGTCCCTCCACAGGCTGGGGCCATGATCCCTCGCCTGGCTATCTCCAGTCCCTTCTGCAGCTCTGGAACCCATTTCCATCCATCTGGGCCATACGCCTCCTTCTTCTGGCCCACCGGGAAGGATGGACGAAACAGAACCAGAAGGGGAGGGATGCATATGCCCCACAGTAGGAGCAAGAAAGTTCCCAGGCACCGGAAGAAAAGGTCTACTCTGCCCATTGCAAAATGCAACTGCTTCTTTTCAGTGCTGTGGAAGAAAATACGTGGGACTGAGGAAAGAAAAGTTGTTGTTTTTCCCCTGAAATGCATCAGGCAAAACAAGCCTTTTCTTCAGGCTACTGGGAGTGACAGCCAGCTCTCCAGAGCCGCAGGACCTGGCTGGCTAGAGGCCAGCAGGCAGCATTCCCAGGCCTGCACCTGGCCGGCGTACAGTGGAAGGGAGATGGCGACAGGATCCTGTTTCCAGAGTGCCACTGGACCTCGCCTCCCACATCAGCAGCCCTCGCGTGATGGCAAGGGAAAGCCCTCCGTACTTACAGATACAATTTTGGGAAGGCCATCAAGGCGTCGATGTGGACATGTTGCTCCAGCAGGCTGTAGGCCATGATGGGCAGAGACGTGAAGCAGATGTTGAACATGGTAAGGTAGGCGGGGTCATAGAGAGGCTTAAAGGGATAAAAATGAGGAGGTGGCATCAGTGTGAGAAAACCGGGCTTGCTCCCATCCACTCCCAAGCAGTCACTTTACTACCCGCAGCCCCTACCCAGCATAATTATATGATGATTGTTTGAGATTTTGGTCTTGCTTCATTCTGAGATTATGTGCCATCAAGTCGTCTCCAACTTATGGCAACCCTATGAATGAAATCCACCCCCCCCCCCAAATGTCCTGCCCATGACAGCCCTGCTCAGCTGTTCGAAATTAAAGGCTGCAGCTTTCTGTATGAAGACAACCCATCTCTTACTTGGCCTTCCTTTCCTCCTCCTGTCCTCCTGTTTTCTCCAGGGGGTCTTGGCTTCGCATGATGTGCCCAAAGTTTGCTTCCAGGGTTTGATTTGATCTGGGACCCTCCTGCTTAAGATTTCCAGAGGAAATCAGTCTCAGGTTTAGAAAAAGGCATGCACTTAGCCACTCAGGGCAAGCGGGAAAATAACACGGCTGGAAAATCTGTTGGAAAGCTGAGAACATGCCCTCCGTCCCTAACTCTACCTCATCAAAGCGCCCACAACAGACTTGCAGAAGTACAAGAAGACCACTGACTTTTGTGGACTTATTGACAGGGCTGAAAATATATTTCCTAAATGTCTTTCCTTCAAAGAGACGTACAGGGGGAGCCCCGGACCTTCATAAATGGCAAGGCACGCATCCCCTGCTGAGCATGATGAAACCCTGCCTTAGGCCAAATGATGGCAACCCAGCCCAGGATGCTCACTGAAGGAGCAGCACCTGAGCATTCCTTGCACCAGGCACAGGTCCATGTAGTCCAGTTCCATCTACTTGGATGGGCAGTAGAGCTCTCTGGAGTTTTGGGTGAAAAGGCCAGTTTCTCTTCACGTGCTACTGAGTCTTTCCTTTCACTGGAGGGGCTGGAGAGCAAAGCTGAGGCCTCCTGCTTCCAAGGCAGGTGCTTCGCTTCTGAGCTACACTCCCTCTCCAGGAAGCTTCTCAGGGAAAGGGAGGCCCACGAGATGCCGCCTTGCTTCCTGAGCAATCCCTCCTCAGAAGTCACCTTCGGTATGTCCACGCAGCCCTTTCCCACAGTTCAGCATAAATACATACAGCCAAAGCAAATGCTGGCCCTGCACCCACGCCGCCTCCTTTCCTTGTTGCCGCTTCTGTACTGAGCTTTAGATTGTATGCCTCCTACTTGACTCACGCTGGGGCAGGGATGGGCAGCGCGCATGGAGCCCAGCCAATGCATCCTACGCATTCACTCTTTCTGCACCACCCTGCCGATGCCAGCCATGCGCAGTGCAACCGCTTTCAAGGGCACCAAGGTCAACTCGATCAGGAGACCCACTGACCTCAGGAATGACGTTCTGCCTGTCTCTGAAACTCTTAACAGTACAAAAGAAACCAAGCAAGACCAAGCCTCATGCCAAAACTTTGACAGAAGAAACAGAAGTGGAATGTAAAAAGCAAACACAACCCCCCCCCCCCCCCCCCCCCCCCCAATAACCCTTGAGGAAATCGTATTTTAAGCAAAGGAATTCAGGTCACTATTGGAACCTGGCAGGACAGAGCAGAGGCACTTAAGAGATGATGCACTGTGTGTATCCATCCGACTTCCGAATCAGGTTGCCCGCCAACATTTTTTCTTATTATGCAAGCCTCCGCTAATGGACCAGCCCAGCTCCAACCTGCCTTAGAAGGGCATGCTAGGGGCAGGGGCCAAAGAGGCTTCCTGGGCTTTGCTTAAGCCCTGCACTGTTTTAGGGGGAAAGGGCAGGAAACCCAGTCGCCAAGCTGTGGCTGCAGCTGCTTCGCGCGGCTGCGAGAGCCAACAGCATCCCTTTTCACGAACAGAGCGTGTGCGTGCAGGCCTGTGTCTGGGGGGGTGACTGTCACTGATCCAGCTTCAACAACCGCTCCAATGGTGAGCCTTGTTGCTTGCGCCTCCCCTTGCAAGTTTTTTTTGTTAGGATAAGGCATGGTTTGCAGCACATTTTGTTTTCTAAACTGCCGGGGAGCAGCGAGCAGCCTCTCCAAGGGCGAACTGCTCTCGGGACGACAACGGACATGAAGCGCAAGGGCCGGATGGTCCAGGGCCCCTTTCTCCATTCCCAGCCCCTGTTTTCCATGAGAGCGCGGCTGCAACCCCCTTGCCGCAAGGCCCCCGAGACTGCAAGCCCACCAGAGAAGCCCAACTCGGAGCAATCTCGTGTTCTTCCCGTTGTGTCTATGAACACCTTCTTCATCTCCCCTACATCAAAGTGTAGACTGTAAGCTCTTCAAGGGTAGAGACCTGTTTTCTTGTGAAGCATCATCTAAAGGGGCTATGGAGGTAAAAATGAGGCGAGACCCTGGAGAGGCAAGGGAATCTCATTATTTGCAGTGGTCTGGGGCCATAGAGGCTGTGTATTACAGTGGTTAGCGATGCAGGTCCTGGTCCCCCCTCGGCCATGAAGCTCATGGGGTGACTATGGGTCAGCCGAACCTACCTCATAGGGTTGTCGTAAGGATCAAATAGGGAGGAGGAGGAGTATGTAAGCTGCTTTGGGTCCTTTGCAGGCAAACAGGTGGGATATGAATACAGGCAGTCCTTGAGTAATGAATGTCTGAGTTATAAAGAACCTGTACTTACAAATGAATTGCCATAAAGCTCACTAATTAAAAAAAAACCTGCAAAAAACCATCAGCACCAGTAAGAAAGGAAGCGAAAGAGCAGCGAGGCCTCCAAATCATGCCCTCCCCATTCAGAGAGGGAAATTTCTCTGGCGTTTCCTTGCTGCAAAGAGGAGGCACTGGTGATTTGGAGGGGGGGGGCTAGAGAAGTTGGTGCTTTTTCCACTTTTGGGGGGGTCTTGTGCCCCCAATCCCCACAAATGTGGAGGGTGACAATGCGTGATCTGACTTGCAGACAAATTCTACTTAAAGATGCATTTCTGTTCTCTCAGGCATGGAACTCACTTGTGACCTGGAGACTGCCTGTGTAAAATGAATGGCAATAACTGGGAACTCGAGGAAGGATCTGAAGAGCAGGCAGATCTCGGGAGCTGTTCAGAGAAGTGGAAAGTTGGACTGATGGAGGGGTGTGGTGCTTGGTTGTTGCAAGGACAGTAATAAAAACAAAAGTGCTGGAATGGGATGAGCTTTTCCCCCAAATTCACAAGCTTACATGGAATAAGGGAAATCGAAGACTGCCTACCTACACGCTACTAGTGTTTGTTTTGCTTGGCAGAAACGTTTTGTATTCCCTGTTATTAAAATATTTTAACTGCAAACAGTCTGTGTTTCCATTTTTTATGCTCTAAACAACTTTGAGATGCATTTTTTATAGTCAAGCAATACCTAAAATAAAGAGACTGAACCCTGAAACAAATACCTTTAACACCCCTGAGAAATTATTGCAACTGCAAGGGGTTTTTTTTAATGAATTAGTTTGTTTTCATCTAGAGCAGGGCATTCTTCTCCTGCTAAATGATGACCAATAGCAGCCAGTTGTGGGTTCATGCATGCTTTGTAGGGGGACCCACTGCATGCAAGCCACGCATGCCCCAGGGGCTTCGGCCTTCAGTAAACAACCTCCACTCTGCCTGCACACAGACTGTGAGCATGTGTGAACCCAGAGTACTGGGTTGCTGGAGGGGCAAACAACCTAGTGGTGAACCCATGGTTTGTTGCTGGGTTACGGCGATCTGGGCTTGCATGTCACACTCACAACCCAGCTGTGCCCATCAGAGGTCATTCACGGAAAGTTTGGGCATCCCATTACTGGCAGGCATCCTGGCATTAATGAACCCACAATTTGCCACCACCGCATGCAAACTACATGTAAGGTAATAGCTTGTGACACGGTTACAAGGATTCCCAAAACTGTCTCCACAAAGGAACCGTGGACATAATTTGGGGCTGGCATTTGGGAAACGTTTTTTCCAGTGTTCAGTGTGCTAACTTGGGAGCCAAGAGGAAGTACATGGATCAGGTATGGCTGAGATGGAAGATCTCTGCAATCTGCAACCGTGACTCCCTTTTTCAGGGCTACAGGTACAGAACGGGTTCCCTCATCCATTATTCTGCGACTGGAAGACCTGTCACCCGAAATCTAGTGTGCCCAGCACTTTTGCTGAAAATTAAGCTGGGATCCACATCACTGAAGTAGCAGAAACGTACCTGTTGAGAAAAACCGCAGAAGAACTGGTACAAAAATTGTGGGAAGATGAAGCAGAGATTCTGCAAAAGCAAAACCATGGAAAAATCAAAAGTCATGTTACTAGGAAAACCTGCGGGGTTAAAGGCTGGCCAGGCAATGCTGGGAACTGCAGGCCTTTTTCTGCCTCAACATGCATAGCACGGCACCCTGGCTTCCATTTCTGGCCTTCTGCAGCTAAGAGCAACGGGGCCTGCCATGAAAGAAGCTGCACTCTTGGCAGAACCCAACACACCCTTCAAGCTCTGCAGGCAAAGCGCCACTCTGAATCTTGGTCGGCAAGAATGTGTTTTGCTGCCTCCTGTCCTGCCCTTCTGCCAAAGACCGTACACATCACTAAGTCACAGCAGCCAGGACACAGAAGGAAGGCTTACCCTGGTATGGACCACACTGGCCCACAACAGTTTGTCGAGTGCTCAGGTGGACAAGGACCTTTCTGTCTCACCTGCCCCCAGTACTTTTCACTGGGGTTGCTGGGGTTCAGGTATGTGGCTTTCTTCATGGGAAGCATGAAGTGGGTCCATCACTAAAGCTAAGGGGCCGGGAAGCTGAGAAGATGGAAGAACCAGGCCCATCGTAAACCAGGATGAGTCCCACAGAGTACTCCTCAAGGAAGCAAATCAGCCCTTAGCACTGTCCTCAGGCCAAGCTATTCATGCCCTCAGCTCACTTCCAGACCAGCCAACTCAATTCCTCTTCCCTCCCAACCCCCTTTCCTTTTGTGTTGTGCCTTTTAGTTTACAAGCCAGTGGCAGAGCCCACATTATTACTTATGTTTGCGAACCTACCTGGGAGACCTTTCAATGAAGGGGCAGGATTAAAAAGGCATCAATCAATAATAAAACAATAAATACCTTGTAGAAGAAGTACTGAACAAGGTGTGATATCCGAACATAGTACAAATGTCCATGGGCCAAGAGCAATTTTTTCAAGTCTTTGAACTTTGGGATGGCGTAGTCGCTGTTCCGGGCTGCCTGACGGCCCTCTTTACCTTTTATACCTGGAAATGGAGATGAAAGCGAATGGCAAGAACTGTATCGTGGTTCTGGAATCTCAGAGGAGTTCGTGCTATGTCAAACCCCGCGCTGGCCTGGAAGACAACATGAGCTTTCTTTGCTCATGGACAGACACTGCAATGAGCCACTGGGGGGATCTGGGCAGGGACTTTTATGTCATGGCCCCTGGAAGAGTGGGGCTGTCCTGCCCTAGAAGCTCTGCTGGCCACCCATTTCTCCTTACCAGCCAGTGCTCAGTGTTCCCTGGTCTGCAGAATTGCCTTTGTTTTGGTCTTGGCTTAGTTTAGCCTTCCTTAAATCCCCCTTTTTTCTTTTTTAAATGCTCCATTTGTCTTGTCTTTTTAGCAAGCCAGGTTTTAAATGACACGAGGAGAAGAAAAGAATCGTCTGCCCACATGCTCTGTATTATGCCTCCTTCTATAAGCTTCTATTGCGGATTTCTCCAACCAGCGCTCTCCAGATGCTGTGGGCTGTAGCTGCCAGCATGCCTGTCCCTTGGCCAGGCTGGCTGGGGCTGACAGACACGGCAGTTGAAAACATCTGGAGGGCACAAGGGTGTGGAGGCTGCCCTGTCTTTCCCACAGGCCTCATCTCCAATGGCAATGTCCCAGATGGCTGCATGTTCGAGGAATTTCTTACCTATGCCCACGTGAGCTTCCAGAATCATGCTGACGTCATTGGCGCCGTCTCCTACGGCAAGTGTGATTGGGCTCCCCTTCGAGTTCTTCACCATTCGAACAATCTAAACGGGCAGGAGAGAAGGGACAAGTAAGAGGGGGGAACAGGAACGGAAAGTTGTTGGATGAGGCACTGGCTCGTTGGCCAATTCAGGCATGCTGATCTGTGGCACAGGTGGCCCCTCCATGCCGGGAACATCATGTTGCTCTGAGGGCCGGCGTTGACATGACACACCTGCGCTTTTTGCAAAGGAGCCATTCGGCAACACAGGACCGCGGTGCACTTCATGCAGATCTGGAGGAAGATGCTCTTGTAGTGGCTGGAAGACGAGTCTTGGGCATTCAGTATCAGGGACAAGGTGGCCCCGTCTATAACTAGCCCGTACTCCTGGCTGAACGTCCAGCTTCTGCGAGAGGAGATGAAAAGATGCTTTGGAAGGTGCACATGCTGGTATTTTATTTACTTTTATATTATTTAAAGTTTTCCTATGCCGTCCCATTACCAAAAGTCTCTGAACGGCTTACAAAGAACAAAAAACCACAGAACAAAGCAAACCATAACAACAACGATGCACAACACAGTGCACCCAATAAGTAATAATAAAAACAAGGATAAAACCAATTAACTGTTAAAATATCAGGAAAATAAAAAGGTCTTCACCTGACGCTGAAAAGGGTAAAGTGATGGTACCAGGTAAACCTCCTTGGGAGTGTGTTCTACAGTCAGGGCACCACCACTGAAAAGGCCCTTCTCTGAGTGGCTACCCTCCTGATTCTACCCTCCTATTCTGGCAGGGAGCATCAAGGACACGTGGCCAGGGCTTCTCTGCCCTGCCTGCAGTGAGAAATGCAGAGCTAAAAGCCACCCGAAAATGGAAACAGAGCATCATTAAACCGGAAAGCTATATTGTGTCCTTTACTTGGACAGGGACAGAGCCAGATGCTTCCGGTTTCTGCTGTAGGCCCTGGATGATGCCGCAGGTATACGGATCCCTTGCTGCTACTTTACTGGCTTGCAGCTGCTTTCTAGCTCAGCCTTCTTCAACTAGGAGCCCTCCAGATGTGTTGGGCTACATCTCCCATCATCCCCCAGCCAGCATGTAATCCAACCCTTCTGGAGGATACCATGTTGGAGAAGGCTATAGCTAGAAGGAGGCAATGGAAAGGGGCAGCACAAACAGAACAATAAAGTAAGACTTGGCCCTGAAATCTAGCCTTTGTGTTTCATATACTTCAATACTTTGGGTCTTGAAAGGTTCAGTCTGAAGATGAGCTGTCAGCATGTTTCTTCTTCCCTCAAACAGCCCCCTCTTCTGAATTGCAGCTCCCCCAGCCCTGCTTTTTCTGTGCCTTCTCCCAGCTCACATTATTCAACTATGGCCGAAGAAAACAGCAGATGACTCTGCGCACTTTGTCCAGGTGTACTTGGGGGCATCTGTGTGACGGGGGGAGAGCACTGGCTCTCTGTGAGCTCAGGGAGAGCATGAAGGACAGTGGGTATGGGGGGAAAGCCCCAGCCCTTGGAGATGCAGAGAGAAGATCAGGCCAGGCCGCCCAATCCTTTGCCGCAGTCCTCCTGCCCTGGCATCTCTGAGAGGGCTGCAGAGGCGTGTGCAAAGGAGGCGGAGAAAAGGGAGTGTGCTTTATTGCACCCCCTGCATTCTGAACTCAGACCTAAATCTGGGCAACTCTTGCAATCGTGAGATCCAGGCCCCGTTTTAAAGATTCCAGATGGCTCTATCGGACAGGACTGGAAAAAGCCTGAATTCCAAACACCCTGGGCTTCCAAGTTCACTTTTGGTGCACGTTCTTGTCCTCTCTTTTTTCCTCCTCTCCATCTCCCTGCTCTGTCGCAAGGCATCCCAAGGGCATCCGCACATCTTCATGCTTACCTCTTCCTGCTTCGGGGACTGTCGCCCATGAGCTTTTTGTGGTACTCCAAAAGCAGCTCGTGCAGCCGCCCCCTCTTCTGATCTTCCTCTCCCACCACTTTTGTGGTCAGTGGCAGCAATTCTGTGCTGGTCTGGAACAGCTTACAGGCGTAACACGTGGCCTGGGCGGTCTCCAGTTTGTCCCCCGTCAGGACCCAGATCTTCATGCCTGCAGCATGCAAGGCCTCAATGGTTTCTGCAGCCAGTTCTTGCAGCCTGCCGACAGAGACCTTCATTTACCAAGTGGAAGGGTGGATATACACCCAACCCCCGCCCTTTTAATTTCAGGGGGCAGGAGTGGTTTGGTTTCATTTTTAAGAGAGAAAATACCTTCTGGGAATTTCTGGAAATGAAAGTCATTCCAAATATAACAAAACAAAATAACATAACAAAAAGATTTCAGCTGAATGTTAGTATGCACCCACCCACATATCCATTCATTAACTAACTGAAGCAGAGTAATAGCCGGGAGGGCAAATTCTATATGCAAAACTCCATTCTATTTGTTTATCTGCCTTTACCGGCTTTCTTACATTGTTACGTACTATGGTTTTAGGCTTTGTGGTCTATCCCGCAGAGCGCTGCAGCTTGGGAGCAGGACGCAAAGACCAGAAACAAACAGCTAAGCACATGCAACATTCTGATCCCCCAGGACAGTGGCACCAGGGTTGTCTCTCCCCCATGCCCCTTACTTGTCTTCCACGGCGGTGGAGCCAATCAGATGCATGTTCTTCTCAACTTCGTCAAACACTCGGGCCATTTTCGCTTCTCGGTCCTGTAGCGCCATCGTCGCATCCTTGATCTGCCTACTGATGATCTCATATTCCGCATAGGATATTTCTTTGTAGGCCACACAGAGCGTCCGATACCCATCCTGGAGGGGTTAGGCAGGAAAGCAAACGCTTCTTAAAGAGGGATGAGCAACCTTGGCCCAGGAACCAAATCTGGCCCTGCTGGAGTCCCCCCGCCACCAACGGCAACAGCTTTTTCCCCTGAACCTGCCTGCTCTCCCCCAACCACTGATCCCACCCACTACTGGAACGGGCCCCGCAAAAACTCCTCTGAAATGGAATTCAGCTCGTGGGCCAAGAAAGGTTCTCCACTCTGGCTTCAGAGCCAGCATATCCACCAAAGGCCACCTCATGTGGCTCCCCCATCCCTAGCGCCACTGCTAATGACAAGGCTGGGCCTGAACCTCTGAAGCAGGAAGCTTGCTGAAGGCACACAGATTCCCATCCAAATGTGAGCTCCCGATTGTGAAGGTTCTGGATGCACACAGGCAGCCTGAACACTCTGCATGTCCCGTCCCAGCCTGTGGGGGGCACCATGGATGGGCGCCACAAATGCAGCAGGGCAACGAGCTCCAAGACCGCCCTGCGCAGGTTTGTGGGCGCACCTACCAGTGCATTGTTCTCTACGTGAACTCTTGTCCTCTGCACTTCGGCTGGTGGGACCCTGGGGAAAATGGCCGAATCTGCTCCTTTGCAGAACAGGTATATCGTTCCTAAAAGAAAAAAGAAAAAAGATTGGGTTTTTAATAACAACAACAACTTTTCTTGGAAGGGTTAAATTAGCAAATTGTTCCCGGCAGCAAGAAAAGAAGAGAAGCCGCTTTGGAAAATGAGAGCTTCAACTAACCGTTGTTGGTCTTCACCAGCACGCTCATTCGGCGACGCACACAATCAAAATCCAGGACGTTCAGCAACTCGTAGCTTTTGAGACAGGAGGGACAAAGAGCATCAGGGGGGCAGGAAATGGAAAGGCATTATCCCCTAGCCAAAAAGCCCAGCGTAAATAAATCAGGGTGAACAGAAGCACAAAGAACACTTCTGGTGGAGGGGATTCAACTGAAAATTTCCCCTAACTTCCCAGTAGGTGAGCCCGGGATACTGCTCATTCACCAAGGGCAAAATGAGGAAGGGCACCTGGCTGGCCCAGGGCCACTACCTGCCCTCCTGCGGGAGGCTACTATGCCCCTGAGAAGAGAGAGAAGCAGTATCTAGGCAGAGATGGAGTCGCCCACCTTGACACCATCAGCCCTTCCTGGAGCCTGCCAGAAAGATGAGTGGCTGGCCAGTGAGGTAAGGCTTCCAGCAATTTTTCAAAGTACTTGGGCTTTAGAGTTAGTCTAGACCCAAGGCAGAAGCTTGGATTAACAGGAGAAAAAGGGAAAGGCGAACAAGCACAGCCTGCCTATCTTTGCTGCTTTCTGTCTGGCCGAAGAGAAGGCCAGTTCAGCCCCTCGAGGGGGAAAAATGAAGGAGCAAGGCATGCCCTGGGGCCACACACACCAAACTGGACGTGGGAAGCACTTCTTGGCTCAACCGCACAGCATTTCTAGAAGGTGCTCCCAAATGTTTTGGTTTGCTCGCGCACAATATGCAAGTTCCACTTGTGCCTACCTCTCGATTGCCTGTTGTGCATTCTGTACCATCAAGAAGTGATTTTCTTGTCCTAGAAAAGTGAAACCATACCTGTCAATGAACAAAAAGGACAGAATGGCGTTGAAAAAAAAAAAAACCTAAACACACACTCTCTCTCTTTCGATTAAAAATAAAATAAATGAAAAAAAAATCACATGAAAGGAGGGGTTGACTGAGAATGTGACAGGCAGGGGTAGGTCTGTGTGCGCGTCACAGTGGAAGCTGAGAAACACCATAGAGGCCAGTATTAGGCAGAGATGGACTTCATTTTTCCCTTTCTAAGAGTGTGTTTCTAGTCCTCATGGATGAAATACATGCATATGAGCAACACTTGTTGCTGTCTCAGGAGCCAGGGAGGTGGCCAAGCAAAGTTTGCTCTTTGCCCTACCTTATGATGAACAAACTCAGTTCTGTGCAAAACTGTGTGATACACATAATCAATGCAAGAGTGAGCTTTCTTCCAGGGCAGGGGAGCAGGAGTTTAATTGTCTATATAATTTGGGATGCATTTATTTTGTTTTGTTTTTAGGAAAATAAATGATGGGATACAGCAGCCCATAGTCCAAGGAATGCACAAATCTGTCTAACTCTCAATTACAGTGGAATTTTAAATGCTGGCTTAAAACAAACAAACAAGCAAACGTCAGTGTCTTGTCCTTGTCCTCCCCTTGTCCTTACTGTGGAGTGGAAAATTTTCCACTGAAAATTATCCAGTGCTTTGGTGTCCCATGGGTCTGTGAGTAACAGTGAATGCCAATTGCAAATGCAAAAGGAGGTACGTTTGACAGTTTCAAATTGGTTGTCTGTATATGATATTTTGAATATTTGGGTTGCTAGCGTGTCTATTATGTCAGGGCCTTTGGGGTTTTCCTGTAAATTCAAACAAAAAACCTGCATAATACAGAATTCCTATCACATTAAGTGTACTGCAAGTGTCCCTCAGATATTTCAAGTCAAATACTTGTGGCATACTGGGACAACAAATTAACACGGAGCATTTTTAATATTTAGCTGTGCAGATTATTAGATGCAAGTAAAACAAACATGCCACACTAGTTTGCTCTCTGGGGCAATGATGGATAACTTGTGGAACTCCAGAAGCCTTAGCTTGCATCAGTCCTCACCATGGGCTATGCCAGGCAGGGCTGATGGGAGCTTGTACAGCAAACATCTGGGGGCCCATAATTTGTCAACACCTGCTCTGGAACACCTGGAAATGTCTTGATGCAAATTGCCCTAATTTGCAGATTTTCCAGAAAACCCACATCACTGGCTTAATTTTATATTCCGGGTAACATAATTTCCACAGACTCCTGCAGTAGTCTCACTTTGCACCACCTGCCAGGCTGGGGTACCTGAACTGTCCAAAGCTAGGTCCCCGGAATCAGCCCCCAGGCCACGGCTGAAGGGGTCACTGGCTGCCAAGCAGGCGGGCTGAGGGGAATATCCATCCCTCACACTGCAAGAGCGGACTAACTCGGGGGTCTATCACATTCGAGCCCTCCCCTGGAACGGCCCCCATCCTCTCCACAGGTGCTCCCCCGTTGTTCTGGGACAGTGCAAGCATTTCTGCCCAAGTGGTTTGCCTTCTGGACACTATGCGAAGTTCTACTAATTTAAAATTTCAGGTCCACCCTTCCACTTTGCAATACATTGGATGGCTTAGGCCAACATAAAAAGCCAACACCTGCCCCCCCCGCCCCCGCACCAAGAAAGAAAGAAAACCCACAGTGAAATTTAACACAAATAGAGTAAGCAAGCACCCAGCCAAAAAAGAAAAAGGAATTAAAAAACTGAAAATGTGCTGATAGAGGCAAAACAAACCACCAGAAGAGCAAGGTTGGCCACAGTGAAATCCTCAGGCTGAATGCCTAAGCACTTGTGCCCAAGTCCTTTCATGCGCCAGACCAGCATTGGAGCAGCTGAGTGGGACAGCAAAAGCTCCCCTAAACAGGTATGTGCGTGCGTGGGCCAATTTTGGAGGACTGAAAAGCTTCATGTGAACTTTCGTGCTCTTCTTTCAAGGTCCTGCTCAGAGCACACACATGCGCACGCATGCACCAATTCTCTGAAGCAAGACGCGTGGCACTGCGGACCAGGGTCTTTTTGGTTGCAGTGCCTCATCTCTAGCCTGCCCTACCATTGCCCACTCATGAAGTTCCCTTCCCTCAGAGATTTAGAAAGAATCAGAAGGCATTGCTTTCCTTCTTCCTGTTGTTAATATGCTGGTCATTTTAATCTATTGATGCTCCAAAGGTTTTATTGAAACTTTTAGATATACAGTTTAAAAGAATCAATATTCTGTCTTGTTCTCATAGGCACCTGAGGTGGCTAAAAAGGATTTTTGTTTTTTAAAGGCAGAAATTTGGGTGATTTTCTTGCCCCCTAAGGACCCAAAATGTTTGAGGGGGTGGGGACAGAAGCCTGGCTTTCTATCAGGGCGGTTTAGATGGCAGAAGGAGTGAGGGAGATGGCAAACCTCGCAGAAGACTTGGCACCAACCCAGGGAATTCTGGGACAGGCTCTGGGCACAACACCTGCGACCTCGCCAGGCCAGTGCCAGGCGATCACCAAGGTGGTGGTACGGATCCTTTGCAGGTGGGCCACTCCCCTCACCTGGGCTGCAGCTGGTGCTTGGCCAGGCCGATTTCTGGCACCAGCCACATTCAAAGGACCCAAGGCAGGCTGCAGGCCAAGTTCACTGGAATTGGCAGCCAGATCTTCGAACAACTGCTGCTGCCTTTGGGTCAGACTGGACCAGCCGACTTGGCCATCCTTCCTTTACTATTCTCAGCATCCAAAGTTGGGATCACCTGTCCGTGAGTATGTTAGCTCTGCATGCCTTTCCATACACCTGAGCAGGAAGGGAAGCTGGGGGAAGGAAAAAGGCCGTGCTTACTTTCGAGCTCCTTGCAGCAAAGCTACTTCATCTGGGGAAGATGCGACATAGTTGGACTGTGGTGCCTTTCCATCAACTGAGTCCTTTTGCTGGACCTGAACCGTATGGCAGAGACACAAGGCACGCAGGAACAGTTCTTCTCGCTCCTGGGAAAGGAATGTTGCAAAGGAAAGCATGTCTGTCAGCAGGTGGGCTGCAAATTTCCGGCGGCAGGCAAAAAGGTCCGGGCATTCCAGGCCAACTCATACAACCAACTGCTGCCGGTGGGGCAAGAAGGAGGGGACTGGCTAGCTTTGGGCGGCCTCAAGAACTTGTATTTCCAGGGTGGCAAAGGCGGTCCAATCTCTGAGCCACAAGAAAAGTCTACAGAGGGGTTTGGGCAGTCCAGCGAGGACTGCAATGCTCCATCAGCCTCTTAACATGTGAAGCCATGCCTGGTCAGCTCAGCGTGGGCTCCTGATTAACTGGGCGCTTCCTTTTCTTTCCTCGTCTCTTTATCTTGCAAAATGTAAACTTTTAATGCCAGCAGTTACAAATCTGAAGGCGCAGCAGTCATCTTAAAAGAGGTGACCCTTCTCGCGGGTTGGACTCCCTCATGCTTCTGTGCCCTGAACTTGCATACCAGCTTGGCTGCCTATCCCTTTCCACACATGAATCAGGGCATCTTCCACCCTCTCTCAGCTGCCCTTTGGTGAGCCGGTGATCCAATTCTTGTGACAGAGAATGCAAGTGCCCAAAAGCTCCCAGGCCCTCAAACAAGGGTAGGTACAAGCACTGCGTCTTCTGATTAGCTCTGCAACCAACTCCTTCCCTCCTCCCCAAGAGGATCCATTAGTTCCCCCCATAGCGCTGGGAGCACTCCGAGCCTGAGCATCTCCGGGCCTTTTGAATCCTAAAATTAACCCTTAGAAGGGCATCTTTGCTGGGGGAAGAGCCGGGGGGAGGGGCTGCCAGGTTTGCTTTACCCTTTCTGCTTTGCCAGATAGCTGTGGTCCATCCACCTCTGAAAAGGCATCGCTGTACTTGTAGCCATCAATGCTGCACTCAATGAACTCCATGGTGTTTTGTGTTAAAGTCCCTGTTTTATCAGAGAACACATACTCGACCTAAGAAGAAAGGGAGAACGTTAGAGAGAGAAAGAGATGCAGATGACAAAACCCTTTCCTCGTTTTCCACTTGGGGACCTTCTTAAGGAAAATGAACTCTCCTTTGATGCTATGATTTTGTTGAAATTAGAAACATATCAGGAGAAAGAGGGGAAAAACCCATCAAATCTTATTTACATGTATTTGCAGGAAAAACAGCTACGTTTGCAGGTTTTAGCTGACCTGCTGAATCTACAAGGCCAAGCTTTACACAGAAAGAGGTCCTAAAAATCAGGGCAGCCTGATCAAGAAGGCTGGGTGACGCACACGGCACAGATTCTAAGCCTGACATTTCCCTGCATGGTGACAAGCACGGAAATCCTGCCTAGTGAGTGCTAATTATAGCATCACACACTCGGGAGCCCAAAGGATCAATCTTTAGTGCACATGCATATTTAAATACTGGAAGAGAAAAAAGAAATCCTGTGTTTCAAGAACTCAAAACGGCCCCCTTTTACTGAGGCCAGATGATCACCTCCTGCGCTTTTACCTGGCCAAAAAGTTTTGGGATCAGGGCTGCCATAGAGACTGCAACAATATGGAGTGAAACATTTTCTGCAGTCCCCTTTTTGTGGGGAATTTCCCAGGCCGCATCGAATCCTGGTGGTCCGGACTGTTGTACGGTAATCAATCATGCCAGGTGGGCTAAACAGAGGACACAACCTGCCCATTGGCCATGATCACTGGAGCCAGTTGGGGCTGTGGTGAAGACCATAGGCAGAAGCCATTGTCTGGGCCAAGGGAGGAAGACAAGAAGAGTGCAAAGAGGAGGAGACAGAAGGTGGTTCCGACCTGGCCAAGCTCTTCATTAAGGTCAGAGGTGTTCACCAAGGCCCCTTCTTGGCGCTCCTCATCAAACATCTCTTTGTCCCATCCAATGAAGAAGGAGCCGAGGAATTTCTGCATCTCGACTGTCACATACATGGAGACGGGGATGATGAAATTGAACAGAACCATGAAGGACAGGAAATCGGTGAATATTTTTAAGAGCTAAAGGAAGCAAGAGGAAGAGTCACTGGACTGATAGTACATTGTTATAGGTGTAGAAGGACAAAAGTGGTGAATCTGACCACAACTGCAACCCAGCTGAAGCCAGCTGATTACCTTGAAGGTTTCTCTGTCCTTCTGCGTCTTGGGGTTGTACCAAGGTTCATCGTTATGTGGAGCACTTTGCCAGATGTACTTCAGAGTGGTACACACAATAGCCTTACCCACAAGAATGCATAAGTAGACTATCAAGAAAGCATTGATCGACCTGGAAAGTCAAAAAGTCCACACAGGGGGAGGGGGGGAGAGGAATACAGGTGTGTTAAAAAAAATCTGAGGCAAATGCAGTTTGAATAAGGAGGCACCTGTTGGAGGCAGATGCACCCATTGGCCTCAATTCAAGCTGAAGACAGAAGCACTGAGGGGAACCTCAGCTGATACAAAATGCCGTCACCACGCCGTTCTGATAAGCAGGACCACCTGTAGAGAATGGATTATTCTACTGCACTGGTTATGAGTCACAATGCAAAGTGCTACTGTTAATCTGTGAAGTCCTACATCAAGGGAGGGCAGCCTCCAGTGTCCGAGGGCCATGAGAAGAAGGACCATTTAAACAGAGAGGGATTTGGTGTACTGTGTTTTTAACAAAATAACATCCTGGCACACGGGCTTACTTTTCAACAGCGGAGCGTTTCTGAGATTTCCCTTGATAGTTCAAGGCCATTTTGGTCTCCATTCCTGTATAGACAGCCACTCCTACAAAATAAAAAGCCATCAGTCACTGGCCTGCAAAGCTTTGCCCATTTGCTCTTTTCCAAGAAGGAAGTTTTGCGGAAGCTGATCACACATGCAAGGGCATCACAAGGGACTCTGGAGCTCTCCCACTGCAAAGCCCTGGATTTCACACGATGCGAAGGGAGCAAGTCATGAGAAGACCCTGCTGGAGTGGACCAAAGGTCCATCTGCTCCAGCATCTCATGTTCCCACCATGATCACCCAGATACACAGGGGAGCCTACAAGCCCTGTCCATCTGCAGCTCCTTCCCAGAAAACCAATGCTCAGACGAATGGCGTAGCATCCAGCCATCATGGCCAATGGTCACCGATAACCACATATGTCTAATCCCCTTCTAAAGCCATCTGAGTTGTAGGTTGCCACCACACCTCATGGTAGCAAATCCCACTGTTTCACTATCAAAATGATCCAATACTAAAGGCAGAACCTTTCCTGCATTGGCTGTGTTCAGCTCATTACTTGGCACTGGGTAAATGCTCATTTATCTTCACTGGGTAAATGTGGCAAAGATTCTTGACCTATACAGGCACCATCCATTGCTACCTGGACTTCAGTGTGGACTGGGGTTGGTGTACTGAGCTTAAGCCCAGAAAGAACCCAGACCCAAGCCCCTTCTCAGCCACAGCACTTCCCTCCACTTTTTTTGCCTCACAACACAGGAGGACAGAGGAGGAAAGCTGGAAACTCACTAGCGTGCCTAGAGCCCTCTGAAGGAAGGGCCAGTTTAAAGCAACAGCTAAGTGGACAGGTTGAATATATAAAAACAAGAATCTAGGCTCAAAATGGAGTCATCATCAGTAATGAACGAGTGTTGGGCCACGAAGGAAACACAGGCTGCCATGTGACACCTAACAACACAATCACATGTTTGTTTACCACATAGGTGACCTCACTAATGAAGAAGCATTCACAGCACCTCAGCCTAAGGTACATCCTCCCATTCTTTTACTGGAAGAGGCAAAACCATCAAGCAATTGCTCACCATAGATTTTAGGAGTGTTTTTCAGGGTTGCTCCCTTCAGCAGGAGGTTCTCTGGACCCAGTGCCCTAAAATGAAGTCAGGCTATTAGGTTGTTTGCAAAAAAGAGAAGCAATCAGGACATGCTGGCTAATGGTGGCTGATGGATGGGTGTGGCAGGGAGAGTTACTTAAAATGAGGCAAGAACAGGAAGGCAACTTTACTTATGAGCCCACAGAGATCATATCCATGTGAGGCAGGAGGAGGGCACAAAAGAAAGGTCAGATACCAAGCTGATTGATGCTGGCAATATGCTTTGGGCAACAAGAGGCCGGCTAGTTAACTGCAAAACACAAGATGCAATCAATAAGGCACAGGGATGGCAAATAAATAGCATGGCTGACAAACCTGGCAATCGGCTCTTGACCAGCTTTGTAGATGTTAATTCTGCCCACAAACCTGGAATGGGAGAGACACACAAAGGGAGAGTTCAGTGCTGCTTGTGTTCACATGACAGCCATTGCAAGTAGCTGGGAACAAAGAGGCAGGAGAGAAGGGAAGCATGCAGGCAACAAGGGGGGGTGCTCGGAGAGAGTAACCCAAACCAGATGCTCTACCTGAGTGGTCCAGCAAGTTATTTACCGAGAGGTAATTGCAAGACAGACAGATGGACGGACAGGGCATCATTCCATGCCACAAAAGTGACAAAGGCAAAGAGTGCCTAAGGAAAATGCATTTGATAAATACATTTACTTTAAAACACCTATCCATCATTCTGCAACCTGCTGTTCTGGCATTTGCAAAATACAGCCATCTAGCAAGTGATTACAGTTGCTAGGTGCTGGCAAAGAATTAGGAAGGCACCTCAAAAGGTAATGTTGTGAGACATCTGGGGAAGAGAAGAGAGAGTAAAATGGAAGAGGGAATCAATAGGAGGCAAGGGGGAGGAGAAACATGGCATTTGGGTCAGAGGCAAGTCAACAGAAAAATAGACTTGCTCAAAATTAGCCTATGGGTCATTGACCCAGGATCAATTCCAGAGCATGCCAATGCACAGTCGACCTTCCTGTTCAGGGAAAAGCGGACAGCTCTTTTTGCTTCATATAAAGGCTTGCTTGGGATGAGTCGTAGCTCCATTGTAGAGCACATACATCACATGCAGAAGGTTTCAGGTTCAATTTCCAGAAAAGACTCTCACCCCAGAACTGCTACAATGCATGGAGGTTTGGTGGGATGAAAGCAGATCTTCAGAGGTTTAGGACTTCAGTTTCCCACCTTCCTGGCCAATGGTCATGCTGGCAGAAGTTTTGGAAAGCTGCAGTCCTGAACCTTTGGAGGTTGTCCACCTTTTGTCCAGTCTTGGGACAGAGGTCCGACTGTGTCGACAGAAGCTTCCTATGATCCTAATCCCAGACAGAAGAGCCCCCTGAAGTTCCTGACTACTGGATCTCGCAGGATGTGGCATGACTCGCTGGCTGTGAAGGCAGGAAATCAACCCCAAAGCTAAGCTCTGCAAGCGAAGTCGCAGCTTGCCACACCCCAAGTTTCAACACGGTGATCAGGGGCGAGGCAGGATGCAAATATGGGGGACAGCTCAGAAGGTTCCTAAGCTTACCTGTACAGGTCTGGCTGGGGCTGCTCACATTCTATTGTGGCGGTGAGGCCATCTAAGGCTTGGCAAGTGCAGAGTTTTGCCGTATCCTGCACAGTGTAGTGAGTCTAAAGAGAGGCAGGAAGGACAACACTGGTAAGCAACCATTTAACACCTGCAGAACATTCAGAGAGTTTCTACACAGCATGTTATTTTTAAGAAGTTCCGAGTTCCACTGTTTTCTTGTTGCTGAAAATGCTGCCACAGATTGGTTTCAATCTGTCTTTCTAGTCCTCTCAGGAAGTTTGCTTTTATTATTATTTATTGTGCATTTATTGCTTTCAGGTGTTTTTTGCTTTATTTTTTAAAGATTTATCAGCAAAATTGATGTGTTATTCATAGTGCAGCAAATCAACACCCATATAATAAAATGAACACATTGGTTAATATATATTAGGATTCTTTCAAAAAGTTTCCACACTTTTAAAAACTCTATTATTAAGAATTTCAAAAACAAATTACATCATTTTTTTACATAGTCATCTTCCTTTGTGAAGCATTTTTCCTAGCATTGTACCAACTTTTTAATGCCATCAGCAAAAACTATATAAAATATATTTATAAAATATTAAAGTGTGGAAACTTTTTGGAGACCCCTCGTAACTTGACCGATTTGGGGCCTCTATAAATAAAAAGAAGCAAGTGGGCAGCAAATGAGATGCCACTAAGTAATGCAGCTAATTAATGTGGGAAGAGAACGATGTAAGCCATTTTGAGTTCTTAAAAAGAAAGAAGAAAAATGAGGGATATATACTCAATTAAATAAAAAACGAATAATACGAAGTCATGACTCCAGAGACAGATGCAGGAAAAGACAAGCAGCAGCTAGTACATGGGGTCATGAAATCACTGGACAGCTGTGCATTAGGTTTGGCCCAACCTGGTTTTCTGAGAATGCCCAGGGGCCCTACCCCTTCTGAGCCGTCCTGACCACCAGTTGCTTAGTGGATTCCCAGAATCTGTACAGTCCCCACCCCATTCTAAGAGGCTGAAATGCCTCTCCGAGGCTTAGTTCCCAGCAGAAAAAGTGACAAATCAAAATATGCTGATTATTTTGGTCCCGCCCCCTGTGCTTCTGGCCCCACCCCTTTCTGCCTTCAGTCCACACCAGCATGTGGCCCCCAAGAGTAGAATTTGGCCCTCAGGTTGAACCTGGTTCTGCTCCCCAAGGGTTGACTGTATCTTGCTTTCTCTCTCTGTTCTAAGTCTGTCAACCAGCACCACCTTCTTTCTAGCACTGTCTTGAATATATTGGCTGTTTGGATTGGAAATGTTTAAAAATAACGCTTATGCACACATGTTCATCTATTTTTAAAGCCACTGTGGTGTCCAGCTCCAAAGGTGAATTAGTGTCTATGAATCATATCCAGGGACACGGTCAATTCCTTTTTCAAAAGTCCAAATGGAGCTTGCAGCAAATTATCTTCCCTAGATTTTCAAGCTACAATACAGAGCTGTAAGCTTAGATTTTATAGATGGCTCTCTGTGCAAAACAAGTTGCTTATTTCCACCTTGCAGGGCTACAGAACAGAGACCAAAACAGAACCAGCTGCTGCCCCAACAGGTTTGGAAGTGCCCTCGCAATTATTTAGAAGGGACTTTCTGTATTTCACAAAGCCGGAGAACAGTCTGAATGGGCTGAGTCCAGAGACTCGCCGGAGAAAAACAACAGTTGAGCAATTCTGGAAGACAGACATGTCCACAGATGTCTTACACCTTCCAGGATCTTTCCAAGGAAATCAGCTGAGAGTCTCCGAGGAGGAGGAACAACCTAGGCTCAGTATCTCTGGGTATGTGGAGAGGATTTTCCTCCGATAAAATTAGCATGTCAAATAACCACCATCCCCAAATGCGCCCTTTTTTGTTGTTTAGTCACAAAGTCGTGCCTGACCCATCACGACCCCGTGGACAGCCTTCCTCCACGCTCTCCTGCCCACCATCCCTCGGAGTCCACCCAAGCCCAGCGACCCCATACAGCCCCCTCGCCCTCTGCCGTCCCTTCTCCTTGCGCCGTCGATCGTTCCCAGCATCAGGGACCCCTTTTTAAGAGGTTCTTTTTCTAGTCACTGCGGAGCACTTTAAGTCACTCCTGCTGCCAAGATGTATTACTGCAATCCATCTTCATAAACAAAACTCACCGAAATGCTTCCTGAGCTCATTATCTCAAAATTTCCATCGTTTCTATTGCATCAGTTGCAGGAGACATCTGAAAACCTGACGTTCCACTACTTGGGGCAGAGCTTGGAGGGCTGGAACCCTTAAACTAGTTTTGGCATTAGCGGCATCCCAAGGGCTCCTTGTACTTTCTATATGCAGCCCTTCCCTAGCAAATTTGCATTTTGTTCTTGCAAAACATGAAGAGGTAAGTGGAGGCTGGACTATCATGGCTTATTTGCATGTTAAGAATCAGACAAGAAGTTAACATGCAGAAAGCCAGTGGGTATAGTGGTTAGAGCACTAGGAGGCTAAAAGGGGAAAGGAGGAAGGCAACATGAATTGGGCAGGGAAAGAGGAAAGGGGCAGGGATATACATATACTAATAAATAGATTTTTTTTAAATCCTGCATCATAGTTTTCTGGAAGTTTCTTGCTATTTAAATATTGGTGTATAGCAGGGCCAGGCAACACATAGCTATCCAGTTGATCTGGCCTGCAACTCCCATTTTCCCCAGCCAGCACACCCTATGTTGGTGTGAGTTTTAATCAAACACACCTGGAGGGAAACAAGTCATGATGGTTCACAGAATAATGGATATGGCTACTTTTATATCCCCGCAGGCTGTGGACCAGCTGCAAACTTGTCATTCATAAAGGAAGGACTGTGGCCTAATTCTCACTGAGACAGAAGATCTCTGTCAGGGCTATACCACCTCCACCCGCTCACATGACTGCATGCTCCATCACTAGGAAAAGCATCCAGACATACAATCAGCCAGTCGGGAAGCTGGCTAAGCCCACAGGGTTCAGTTGCCTGCAAAGAGCATGCAAATTTATTTAGTACCTGGTTTTAGATTATGGCTATTGGTCTTGCTGCTGGTTTGTTGCTTTATTGGTTATATTGTGTTTATTCCTCCAGTCATATTTATATTGTTGCATCTATATTGTATTTTTATCCAGTATGTTTTACAGTTTTAGCAATTATTGTTATTTATTTTTAACTGCATTTTCTATTTTTATTTTGCATCACTGTTGATGATTCTGCTGTGAGCTGCTCCTGGCTATGGGGCAGCATACACATGCAATAAGCTAAACAAACTGAATGGATAAATGAAACCCCACCCCTGGAGAGCTGTGGCCCTTCCGATCAGCCACCTACTCCCCAAGGCCTGGGGAAGAGAAAAGTTTTCCAGGCTGGCCTGTGCCATTTACCCATCCTGTTACCTTGACGTTTGATTCTCCATCCAGACTAGCCGTGGTGACGTAACAGGACCCATCTTTGCTACTCGATGCGAGGAATATCAGGTCACAAGGAAAGGTTTCATCAGCTGACACCTCCACAATGTCACCAACCTAAAATCAGAACAAGGCAATCATGCCCTCTGGTTCGAACTACAACCACCAGATCAAAACCCGACATATCCTCATGTCCATATTTGTCCCTGCTCCTTGATGAAACGAACTCTGGACGTACAGTGTCAGGATCAGACCGAGACCAGAGTGGGGCTCCCTAACCCTTAACCACCCTCTTAAACCTTCTGGAAACCTCTTTCCTGATTTCTGATGGCAGTAAGTAATTTTCCATTAAGCACTCTCCCTGCCAATCACATGGAAAACATGGCAGAACTTTGATGGCACCACTGTGACCTTTGGCTCCACTCTTCGGTTTAGCCACACTGGCTGTTCCTGGGACCCACGTGCTCCCTCCCCTCCTCGCCTGCTCCATTTCTCTCCTTTACTTCTTCATCTAGACAAACCTGTCAGTTCCCCCACATCAGAACTGGGAACGCACTTAACAAGAGGGCTGACCAGATCTGGAGTCCTCAGGTCCCTCGCTACTAGTTACTAGAGGGGCTACGGAAGCGAAATGCAGGAAACCAGACTAGTTCAGCAGACTATTAAGAAACAAGCACCTCAAGGCCGCTTTCCACCAAGTGGACTGACAGAAGATCTGCATCTTCCCCACCAGCCTGTCCACTCACCTGGACAGAATTCTTTTCCACCTTCATCACCTAGCAAGCATGTTGGTAAGTACAGGAATCATAAGCACGCCAAGGGTTAGGAAAAGGTGGATGAAACAGCTGGTCTCTGTGTATAAATGATTTCCTCGTTGTGGAAACGGGTGCAGAGGTCAGAGTTTTCTGTTTCCGAAGTGCTGCATTCACCACCAGCCCAGGTTTAAAGTTCTGTGTCCAGGCTGCCCTAACCCTAAGCATTTTCTTCCTTTCTCCAAGCTGCCCTTGAGGTCATCCAAGGACATTCTCCTGGGAGTGCCACATGGACTCATGGCCCAAGTGGAATCCGCCAGGAGAAGAGCCTTCCGAGTATGGAACTCCCCGCCTCTGGAGGCCCAGCAGGGTCCAGCCCTGAGCAGTTTGGGGCACCTGGTGTACCCCCTTTCTGGGAAACCAGCCACAGCTTGAATGCTAGCCTGTCTGCAATGCATTCTTTTGGTCTTTGAGCTGTGCTACCTTTAGCTTGTTCACCACTGCGATCTGTCAAGGCAAGTGCACCAAAACTGTGAAATAATTTTATTTATTTAGAATATTTATAAGCCGTCCTTTCGCACAGCCTCAGGACGGCTTACATAAATAAATAAGAATAGTAGTATAAAACATAATACAAATAAATTTCAGATCCACCCTGGCTGCAGATTAAAACATATATAGCTAATATTAAAAGTTATTAAAATATTGTTGAAATAAAAAGGTCTTGGCCTGGCGCCGAAAAACAAATAACGACAGCGCCCAGGAGGACCTCTCTGGGGAGTGCATTCCATAGGTGGGGCACCACCACAGAGAAGGCCCTCCTCCAGGTACTTTGCCTCCTAATATCTTTCACGGAGGGTTCCCGGAGGAGGGCCTCTGCTGCCGATCTCAGGGGGTGAGGGCAAATACGAAATAATGGAAGAGAGATATGCTGAGCCCAAATCTCCGGCCCAAAGGACAGTCCCTCTTGCCATCTTTCCCACTCCCTGCTTTTCGCCACTGCTTCCTGAGGGCACCACTCCCATGCCAAAGCCATCACTTTTTGCCCGCTACCAAATCAGAAAGCCCTGTGGCTCCCATTACCTTGATGTTCTCACACTCTTTCTTCACAAGCTTTGCATCTTCGATCACAAAGACTGTGCTTTTGTTCACCTCCTTGTCAGCCCTGTGCCGCAGCCAGTCTTCATAACCCTGAAGGGGGTAAGAGGGGATCGGTGTGGCCATGGGGCAGAGAAGGAAATGGTCCAGAAAGGGGGTGGAGAGCTCTGTTCTCCCGCAGTGGATCACGATAGTCCCCTCTTCCTCCCGGGGGGCGGGGGGGGGGAGATGGGGAAGGCACATACCTGCTTAATGGCTGTGACCGTAATGACAAAGAAAAGAGGCAGCCCACTTGTGACAGGGCTCGTTGGTGTGTCTACTATGACCTGAGGGAGAGAGGAAAAAGCCACTGGGGACGTCCCATTTCAGAAGGAAAAGGGTATTAAGGTGCATGATGGGAGTTTCAGCACTTTCCGCTTCTGCAAAGCAACGCAAGCAATGCATGTGTGGAAGGTGCAGAAAAGGTTCAAGGGCATGCCCAGCAAAGTCAGAGACAGAGAAGCAGAGCGAGCCAGAAGGGGCCTCCTGCGCCATCTAGTCTGACCCCTGGCGCCAGCCGGCTCCGCTCACGACATGCCCACCATGTGTCCAAGTTCTCCATCCATTCATGTATTAGAGGTGCTACACGGGGAAAACCAACCCTCTGCTCTCCTCCTGTGTGTTCCTTGTTCTCACGGGCTTAATGATGGCTGGAAGAGCTCCTGAAGGGCTCTCTTGGCGTATGCAGAAGGGAACAATGTGCTGCCGTGGAGGCCTGGTGGAGCAAAGAGGTTCTTTTCCCACAAGCCTTAGAGTGGTTTGGGGCGACTCGGGGGCAACTGCTGCTCAGTGGTACAAATTCCAGAGGCGTAGCTGGGTTGTCACAGCAAACAGACACTCTTCAACCAGCCAACCAACAGACTTCTGGCACTTGGAAGACTATGGCTGCCAACCCACACATACATTTACTTGGGAGTAACTCCCGACATCGTGGACGTAATTCTGGGGAGGCATGCAAAGGAGTGCAGCAGAATTGATTTACTGGGGCACATTTTTATTCCAGCCCTTTTTCAAGAATATATTCAATCTGCCAGTTTTAAAAAATGTGTTGCACAGGTTTTTTGGTTTTTGGAAAAACGAGGCAGGTGGGGGAGAACTTTGGGTGATGCTGTGTTCTGCTCTTCATTGCCGCAGCAGCTCTCATGCTTGTGTAATCTGCAGCCAAGCATTTTCTTCTCTCCCACTGGTGCAGGTTCTCTGAGGGTGGGAAGAGTGCCAAACAAAAATGTAGGTGTGCAATGTTTTCACATTGGGAGGGTGGGATTTGCTAAAGCTGAGGACCTTTCACATGGCTTTCATTCACTCTCTCTGAAATGCACTTGTGAAGAGAGAGCGCGGCTTACCATGGGCAAGGTTTTCTGGGCATGCCCATTATGGACCAAACGAGAAAGCAAAAATGAGGAGAACACCCCTGCCTCCCAAGCTTATTGCACAGCAGTGGGAGAGTGAAAATCCTACATCCATGGTTAGTACCATGATGCAGACTGCCTTCAAGGTAAATATAGTTCCCCTTTAACTTGCTCCAAGTTAAAGCCTGGGACATTTGGGAGCTCCTGGTACCTGCCTGCTGCTCCTGGCAAGCTGAACTGCACCACAGCAGAATGTGGCGGCAAGCCATCTTTTTGTGTGCCTGGGCAATGCGTGCTGTCGAGAACTTGGAATTGCTCAACACAGGATGCCCATTGCTAATGGAGGAGGCCATCTGAAGCACCGTCCTTCTAATTAGTGAGAGCAATCTCCTCAGAGATCATTAACACCCATCCCCAGCACACGCATGACATGCAGGCTGTCAAAGCATCATGTCTTCACAGCCAACGTGATGCGGTTGCCATGAACACCGCACCACTGGATCTAGTACAGCCCATTTAGCCGAGTCAGAGGAAACTCAAATCTACAAGGACAGGGCCAGTCAGCTTCCTTCACCTGCAACACCGAGCGCTTTTAGCTTGGTCAGACCGACATGCCAGCTCCGGAGTCCAGAACAGATACATGGCCAAAGAAGCTTCAACAGGGTGCATCTGTTTGGCTGGAGTCGTGTGGGCAGGGCCCTTTTTGAAATAGCACTGCTCGGCCACTTGGCCGGAACAGGAAGAAGGCTACAGCCCATCTCCCCCTCATCCTCCTGGCACAGCGATCTGCAAGATTTCTGCTTTTAAAGCAAGAGATCCACACAAGCAGCCCAGGCTAAAGGGATCAGGAAAGGGGAAGCGAGCACATGCACTCACTGGAGCCTGCAGTTTTCTCGTCCCACAAGAAATCTGACCCATGAAAGCTCACTGCATGTTTGTACAGCCCTCACCTGGATCAGGAAGCCATTTCAATATCTCATTATAGATGTATGTGGAGGGAGGTGGGAATGCATCAAAGATCATTAAAGATGGGTATTACTGGATCATTAAGGCAGACCACTCATTATTAATTCATAGTCTTTGACAGAGACACATGTTGCAACAGATACTGCATGCTGAAAGCACGTGCCCACAGTCTGCATTCTGGGGGCACTGCTCGGTTTTATCAGGATGGCACTGAAAATGTTGAAGGGCAGTTTCTGGTGGGGGGTGGGAGCAAAGCAAGGCAACACAACAGCAATTTTTTTTGGCTGAGACACTGTAAAGGGCAGGGTACAAAAAAATTAAATGAATGAATGCAAAAGCAAAAAGGCATCTATGCCTTTCTTCTCCAAAAGTGATCTTACCTGTACAAGGAAGATGATAAGGAAGTAAAAGTTGGCAATTCTACGGAACTGTTCAAAGAGATTCTTTGGAAGAAAATTCCAGAGTGTGTACTGCAGGAAGGAAGCAAAGAGAGAGAGATAAATCATGAATGCAAGCAAAGACAGCCATGTCCAAGGCAAGAGAAGTTATCATCCATCCATAGGTCCATCGAGTTTGCAAATGCAGAAATACATATTGGAAAAGGGCTTTGATGAGAAGGAATAACTTGTAAACCTTGAAAAGGAGAAAGCATAGATTAAAATGCTTGCAGAATATTTACTGCATAACTCCACAGAACTCAGTGACCAGCTAGTGATGGGAAGGCTCAGGGAAAGGTTTTGGAAGCAGCGGTGGCGGCCAGACCTCCCCCAGTGCTCCCGCTTGAAATGAAAAAAGGTTATGAACGCCGCAAAGCCGATGGTGTTCACATGCCCGAGTGAGCGATGCTCTCGGGATGCATCGTTGGCAGTGGGGCAATGCTCCTCCAAAGTGGCTGAACGCACAACACTGTGATGTCTGCACGGCCGGTTGATCCACAGCCGCGGTGAGAAAGGCCTCAGCACACGGTCGCCTCGCCATTTCTCTTGCTTCTTGCTGGGTTCAACAGAGCTCAGTTGATGGAAAGGCCTAGCTACTAGCTCCACAGCCCCATGGCCTCCTCAGGTTCAGGTTCAGATCTGCTCCAGCTGCCCTTCAGCCCGGACAGCGATGTTATCATACATCCCAGAACTGCAAGCACAGGCCTTCCTGAGAACATCTTGCCGAAAGTGGCAAACTGTCAGCCAAGCCAGCCTCCCAGTTCAGCCTGCAAAGCACAGTGCTCACTCTTCCTTCATGAGTAAACCAGAAAGCCAGAACTTCCTTTGATTTTTGCCCAGAATTTGCAGGAACCCTCTGTTCGCCCAGCAGCACGGGGGAGGTCATTCTCTGAGCAAACCCGATCCCCCTCAGGGTTGCTCAGGGTGCTTGCATTGCTCCACAAGGAGGCTCGGAAGCAGGCACCGAGCGCAGACTGCTCGATATTAGCAGCCTCGCCCTGCATGCTCCTGACTGCTATCAGGGGAGGGCAATTTGCACAATACAATGGTAGGGCGATGCTGAGCAGAGTCATGCTGCCCCTTTCTCCCACTGCTGGTTAGCAAGGAAGGATATGGACAAGGCACGACAGCAGAAGAGCAGTGTCTAAAGTGGGGTGAGGGGAAAGACCTTGTTATGACCCAGGTCTTGGTCCAGCCAAGGCACCTTCTTTCAGGGTCAAGGGTACCGACCTAGGAAGAAAAAGTACCCATGCCCAAGATGATGGATGGCTTACTGAATGCCGAGACTGGTGGGACACAAATGCAGATTTCAGGTAAACAAGCCAAGGAAAAGCATGCAGGTAGGTCTGTTTGGCCACTGGCATGACAAACATTGCTCCACCAGCACGAGGTCTTAGGGACCCCTGGGCACTCCAACATGTGCCTCCCGTGGATTGTTTGAAGCGCCTCTCGCTCTGTTCCAGAGGTTGCCAGTATACATGGGCACAACCCTCCTTCCTGGGAGGCAAAGGAACGGGGAGTGAGAGAAGGCTCAGCCGCCCCGATCAACTTCCACCAAAGGGTGCGCCATGTCCGCTTGTCTAAGATTAGGAGAAGAACTTCCAGTGCCTGGCAGCCAGTGACCTCTGCCCCACTGGCATCTCACCATGAGTCAGGCTAGCAAATGTCCACAGCCACACCAAACATGTTTGCCAGTCGCTGGGAACAGAGCGTGCTTAACTCGCATCACCACGGCTCCTGGTCATCCATCCCAGGACAGCCTCTCCCCGTTGAGGCACACGAGGCACGACTGGAATCTGCGATCGCTCTTGCCCATTCTGGAGAACATGACCAGGTACTGCCACCTGGTCATAAAATCAGCCATAGAAACCCACTGGGGAGTGTTTTGAAAGTGCTACAATGAAACAAGGTAAGGAGTCCAAAAAGATAGATGTGGCTATGCCAGGAACTTCCACGCACACAACTCATCCTTGTTGCTTTGGTTTAATTCTGGATATCCCTCCCCATCTCCAAAACCACAACCCCGAAGCATCATGCTCAACCTGCTGTGAACCAACAGGTTGGGACCCTCCCGCAAGCAATGAATGTTGGTGTTTTAAGGCTCAGGAGGGGTTCTGCACAGGATAGCCTGCCCTGGTTCTGGGGCAGCCCTTCCCTTGCAGCTGGCTGGGGGATTCTGAGAGTTGTAGTCTGGGTACTTGCTCAGTGGGGAATTAACCATTAGTGGGGAATCGTCAGGATGATGGCCAGTGACAAGCAGGATCCCCCAGGGCTCTGTCCTGGGGCCGATCCTGTTTAATCTTTTCATCAATGACATGGAAGAAGGGGTGAACAGTCTGCTGATCAAATTCGCAGACGATACTAAAATGGGGGCAGCGGCCACCACTGAGGAGCAGTTACTTCAGATCCAGAAGGATCTGGACAGACTATGGAAGTGGGCAGGAGACAACAGGATGGCGTTCAATGTGGATAAGTGCAAGGTCTTGCCCTTGGGGCATAGGAATGGGGGTCACAAGGACAGGTTAGGTGACAAGTGGCTGGAGAGCAGCACTTGTGAAAGGGACCTCGGGGTACTGGTTGACTGCAGACTGAACATGAGCCAGCAGTGTGATGCGGTGGTCAAGAGGGCGAACGCCACCCTTGGTTGCATAGCCAGAAGTGTGGCTTCTAGATCGAGAGAGGTGTTCCTACCACTCTACATGACTCTGGTGCACCCTCAACTGGAGTATTGTGCTCAGTTTTGTGCCCCTCATTACAGAAAGGATATAGCCAGGTTGGAGTCAGTGCAGCGCAGGGCCACAAGGTTGGTGGCCGGTTTGCAGGGGATGGGGTATGATGCGAGACTGAGGGAACTGGGTCTCTTCAGCCTGGAGAAGAGCAGACTCAGAGGGGATATGTTGGCGACATACAGGTATGTGAGGGAATGTCACATGGAGGTGGGTAGAGACCTGTTCTCCCCTGCAGAGGAAGGCAGGATGGGCTCCAATGGAGCAAAGCTCAGAGAGCCAAGGTTCCATTTAGATGCCAGGAAGCACCTCCTGACAGTTAGGACCCCGAGGGTATGGAATGGGCTTCCACGGGAGGTTGGAGGTGGTTGAGGCCCCATCAGTGCGGGTGTTCAAAGATAGGCTGGACGGAGCTGGCTGGAGCTGGGGGTCAGACTAGATGGTCCGGGAGACCCCTTCTGACTTGCTCTGTTTCTGCGTTTCAGTGAATGCCCACCCCTCAGTCCATACCTTCTACACTCAAAGGACAATCTCTGGAGGAGATCCAGCATGCAGTGGTCTGCCAGCACACGGGAAGCCCACCTAAAAGGAGGTCTCCCACTGGCTACATGGCAGCAGGGGCCATTTGCAAGCCGCTGTGACAACTGCAGACGGACTCTTTTCAGAGGACAAGTGGCAGCCGCGCAAGGCCAGCCTTGGACTGGCCAACAAAGGCACATGAACATAAACGGAAGTTGATGTACAGAACTGATTGTCTATAAATTGCCTACAGAGGAGGCCGCATTGTTCTATGGGATTCCCCGCTGCCTATTCATAGCAGCCACCTGTCCCTGGCGCCTTAGAAAGATGAGGGTCTTTTGTTCAGCACTCCCTGCTCGACAAGCAAGGGCAGGCTTCCCTGTCACGAAAGCAGGACATTTAATAAAGGGTTCGTAAGGGATGCTCTGCACTGTGCAGGCTGCACAGTGGCTTGTCTGGAGCACACCTGCTTGGGGGATTCTTCAAGGGGGAAGGTTTGGTGCCAGTCTTCCTTTCAAACTGCTTTTCATATATGGTTGGCTAGGGGGCAAAGGTTAAAGATCTGATGCCTGGGACAAGAATTCCAGCCCAGGTCCAACTCTGAAACTTTAAAAGAGGGGGAGGAATCACTCCCCCAATGGTGAATTCAAGGACTGTAGGCAAAAGCCAGACTGCTGATGGGAACAGAGAGAGGCCCGATGGCAAGATGCCCAGAGGAGAAGCGGGAAAATAATACCCCCAACAAAAGCTCAGTGAGGATTGAACATACTCGATGGCCACAGAAAGGTGAGCATCAACTGGGGGTAGAAAAGATAGTGGCCAAAAACAGGGAGCTGGTTGCACGGACCTGGATCACCTAGAAGGTGGATAGCTGGAACACCAAACGGACGCCTGGCATTGTTAGTGAAGGGCTCATTTTTAAGAACAAGCTAACAATCTTAGATCAGCAATTTTGTGCCAGGATTACAGAAATGCATATTCCATGCAATAGTAAAACTGGAATGACCTCACTGGGGCAGCAGAGTAGAGTTATTGACGGATTTTACCTTTGCTAAGCTGAAAAAGCAGGTTGTTAAACAGCTGCAAAATGTGTGCATTAGAGAGATAAATACCAAGAATCATTTACAGCTAGGGCATTTTGGATAAACGTTTTGAGATTCAAAATGACAAAAAAGTTTAACACTTAAAAAGGAAACGATCAAGAAGCTTTTGAAAAAAGGAAACACAACTTGCAAGTGAAAATGACCCAGTTAGTATTGCTAGGAGCCTCTAAGTCAGATGTCCCCATCTTGACCCCTTGGAGATGCATTGGATTCCAACTCCCATGATTGCCATCCAGCTTGGCCGCACTGGAAGACACTAGGTAATACTTCACACAGTGCATGAGGAAATGATGGCATTTACTTCCATGAGCAGTGGAGATGGCCACCAATCTGTATGGCTTTAAAAGGGGACTGGAGAAATTCCTGGAGAAGGCGGCCCTCCATGGCTACTAGTCCTGATGGCCGTATGCCACCTCCAGCGGCAGAGACAGTATGCCCATGTACACCAGTGGCTGGGGAACACGGGGAAGAGGGTGGTGTTGCACTGGTGTCCTGCTGGTCACGAAGCAAAGAGAGCAGACGGACACTGGGTCTGATCCAGGGATGTTCTGATGAAGGTTACGGGTGGCTGACATAGTGCAAGAAGAGGAATAAACCAGGACTGGGAAAAGTCATGGCTGAATTGCCACTAAGCCACAAAGCTCGCTTGTGTCAGTCAGTCCCTTTCCGTCTAAGCTACCTCGTGTTGCACTACAATTCCCATCATCCCCAGACGGCAGAGACGTGCTGGTGGGCACCCTTCTGCAAAAGATCAGCCTAGGACTGGGGTAGGTTAGAGGACCCACATCACAGTCAACACATTTTGAAGCATCGCAATCCCTGTGTCAGCATGAATGGGGCAAACATACCTTGGATGAAACGATTTGGTTGGAGCAGAACGTCTGAGGAATGTAAGCTTCTGTTTCGGAAACCTGGTGGTGGCCAACAAGGATAGTCCGGGTGCTGACACGTTTCTCTTCTCCAACAAGCTGCGAGACAGGACAGGGAGAGAATTATTCATGTGTTCTTGGGAAGCATATCGGAAAAATATGCTTCCCTATTTGGGGAATTCACCATGCCTGTGGCCCTGATCCTGAGGCTCCTTGCATAGAAGGCGAACCTTTGAGCCCACAGGTTTTGGGGCATTCCCTGGATGGAGTGGCCAGCGCTCCCTGGACTACAACGAAAGGAAGCTGAAACCTACACTCTCCCGAAGCTCCATGGGTGCCCTTCTAGACAAAGCGAGCCTTGGGAAAGTCTGAGAGGTTTTAAAAGGCATGGTGGATTTTCCACCCTCCCACAGCCATTGGTGGAAATAGTGCAGTTTGCCAATTATATCCTGCACAAGCAGTAATTACTGCGTTTCTGAATTACAGAACATCTTGAGTCAAGAGTTGGGGGCACAATTTACAATTCATCCGCTCTCTAAATTCTAAGCTATTTTGCTCATTTAAAGCATTCATCTTCTCCGGCTTCATCCCATAGGGAAGCCACAGGCAGTTAACAGCAGCATAAAACGAGGAATAAACACAATATAGAAACAACAGTAAAATGGTCATGCAGAGCAGAGCAGCGCGTAAACAACAAAACCACAAGAGACAGCAGAACAAGAAGAGAAACAAAGCTGCAATTCAGTGTCCAGAGAGCTTTCGGAGCTGCATGAAAAACAGCAGCTGCCACGGAATCCTCCTATTTAGGGAGCCAAAGCGCCAAGGGAAAGGCGATCCACAGTCCTGGCATCACCACCAAAAAGGCCCTGCTTCCCATGGACACCCATCAAGCTTTGGCTGGCAGAGGAACAAGGTACAGGGCCTCTAAAGAGCAAGAACAGCAGGTCAAACAGGACAGTCTGCTTTTGCAACACGTTTCCCAACCATACTGAGGGACACGGGGGTGGTGGGGATGCACATCAGTGAGAAACCCACGAACAACCCTTGCAACATGCAAGCATCGAACACACGTGGACGCACGCACACACAATCCTCTACAGCAGGGGTCTCAAACTTGCGGCCCGTGGGACGATATTTTGTGGCCCCCACTTGATATCAAAGTTTAGTGATAGTGCGGCCCTCGCGTTTTTCTCACACGCACCTGCGTGAGTCGTTACCCCGGGCGCAATGTTCCCTCTAAGCTGCGTGCCGGGACGGGGGGGGGGCACGGGGGAGGGCCCTGCGGCCTTCAAAGCGCCGGCGGCGCCCGGGCTGGCCTCCGGGAGCGACGCGGGATGAGCGGCCCACCACCGCCGCGGTGGTGGAATACTTGATGCGGCCCAGCCTCACCCAGACTCTACTCCAGCGGCCCCCAGGTAAGTTGAGTTTGAGGCCCCTGCTCTATAGCATGTGGGTTTGGTGCATGAGAATTCATGAATCCCTTGAGAGGCGAGGCCACATGGAGAAGGCTCCCAAAACGGCTATTTATTTAGTTAGTTTTTATATGCTGTTCAAGACCACATTCTCTGGATGGATAACAAAAAACAACAACATACCCACAAACAACACACTGCATCCAACCATTTTTATTTAAGCAGCATTTTAAATGTTAATATCATTGAATTTTATTTGGCCAGGGCGGCTTATTTTATTCCAATGTATATATTTTAATTGTTATTGTTTTAATTTATTGTGTATTTTATTATGTTGTGAGCCGCCCCGAGGCTACGGCAAGGGGCAGCATAGAAATGTTTTAATAAATAAATAAATAAAGCCAAAGATATAATCAATTAAATATTAAAATGTTGGGAAAATAAAAAGGTTTTCTCCTGGTGCTGAAAAGAATAGAGCGAGGGCGCCAGGCGAACCTCCCTGGGGAGCAGGTTGCAAAGTTGGGGTGCCACCCCCGAAAAGGCCCTTCTCTGGGTAGCTACCCTCCTAATTTCCTTCAAAGAGGGCTCCTGGAGAAGAACCTCTGCCTTAGATCTCAAGGGGTGGGCAGGCACATAGGGAAGAAGGCGCTCCTTCAGGTAGGTAGGTGCTTTAAAAAAGAAAAATCTCCTATAAAAGAAAAAACGGGCAAGCAGAGCGTACTGGATCCAATTCCAAGTCTATCCCCTCCTCTGTGTCTTCTCCAGTGATGTGAACACAAAGGAGGAATCAAAAGATTGTGCGAGAACTTTTCACAGTTTTTTTTTTCTTTATTTTGCTGTGACCTTCTTTAAAGCAGCTTTTTCAGACTGGCTGGTATTCCAAAGTATTTTTTATGTCTGTGCAACACACACACCAATTTTTCCCAACATCTCTTCATCTCTGATATGGAAGAAATGGCTCACAACTCAAACAAACAAAAAAGGGGGGGGCAGGAGTGGGGCAAGAAAGAGAGAGATATAAATAGCCTGTATATATCTGGAGGGTATATATCCATCACTGCCCAGAACTTTGTATTGGAACATCCAGCGTTGGATCAGTGGTTTCCACACAGAGGTCCTGATGCTTTATGTGAAGTAAGGCCAAGAAATGTCAACAGAAGCTCTTGTTTATTTCCACCTGAACCCTTTTGAACAGCACAGGAGATTAAAGTAAAAATGGGCAGGCACCGCCCAAGGGAAATCCTTCCAAGGTATCTCTATTTAGAATTCACATGCTTGCAATGACATTTCTTGGCCTCCATGCGATGCCAATTTTGCATCCTGTGGAATTGGAATTGCATTCAAGTTCAACGCTCAGAAATCTCTTCCATGGCACATGTCAAAAAGATTTCAGTTTAATGCAAAAAATAAAATAAAATTGCTCACTGAGCCCACGAATTAAGCGTCACCAATACCAGCAAAATATACACTATGCAGCATCTGACCATGCAACCAAGAAAGAACTCTGCAAAAGTCCAGAGGCAACCTCCTGAAACTTTTGTGTTGGCCAGAGAGGAAGAAGAGCATTTGCCATTTCCCTGTGGACCTTTCTCCCTTCAGAGGTCTCACAAACTATTTGCAGGCGTTCTTGAGGTTCAAATGCACATGGGAATCCAATGGGTGGACGGGAAAATAAAAGTTTCTGAAGAGAAAACCAGGTGAGCCCTGGTAGAAGGACACATGATTTCTGCCTTTTAGCTGAAATCTCATTCCATATGTTTCCACCTATATAGTAGAAAGTGTGGAACAATGTTTGCAGTGTTGGACCAGCCACTGGAGGTCTGGATTCTACCCCCCACTCAACCATGAAGTTCACTGAGTGACCTTGGGCCAGTCACTGGCTCTTAGCCTAGCCTACCTCACACGGGTGTTATGAGGATAACATGGCAAGAAAGAGGATTATGCACATCACTTTGGGTTCCTTACAAGAGGAAAACAGTAATATATGAATGGTATTTTAAAAGGATTCTGAAAGGTAGGAATGATTCCTTTAAGGTATGGTCAGGAATGTGGGCTTTTCAGGCATTATTTAATGCAAATTGAGCTTATTCATGGTTATGTCCATTGGAAAAATTTGTTTGCACTGGAAAATTGTCGGGCAACCTTGGGAACAATCTAATTTACCATGCTTAATTTGACTCATGCTTAGAAAACCACAAAGCTAAACTAACCCATGTTATTTTTCTCCCAATACACCACATGCATTTGAAATATCTTAAGAAAATATTTTTTGAAGCAGTTTCAGAAAAGAGTTAAAACACATCTCATATGATTTAAATGTTAGACTATGTAGAAATGTTTTGGGGGATGCTTCTAAAAGGGAAAGAAAATAGCATGTGTTTCCCTTACTTGGTTTTGAGGCAGCAATTCTGTGTAACTAGAGGGTACTGGGGAAACACAGCAATCCCATGCCACCTAAAAGAGTGGGGAACTACAGGATATTTCAGATTCCCAACACCCTGGTCAGAGATGGTACTCCAACCCTGAAGCTGGGAATCAGAGGTTTGTTTGCCAAGGCTGGAAAGGGGAGAAAGGGAATGGGTAAGGGGAAGGGAGAAGACTGGGGGGAGGGGGGCCTGCTATGAGCTATCCTAATCCCTCTTCTCTCTGGGACATTCCAGCTAGGTGAGCAGAAAAGCCCGCAAAACAGAAAAGTTTGGTTTCAAGGGCAGGGTGGAGAGGACTAGAATGAGTGTGAACTTTCAGGTTGGGGGCTTACAGACATATTGAGAGAATTGCTTCCTAAGTGGAACAGCAAAAAAAAAAAAGAAAAAAAAAAAAGCAAAGGTATTAAAAACTGGTGGCCCACCCAATGTGTGAGCCTGCACTAATTAATCCACCAATTAATGTCAGTAAGTCACAGAAGTCTGCATGATCTGCTGACAACCATGGCAGAATCCAACTGTACTCCACTGAGATTGCTGAGGGACCTCCAGGTTTGCTGTCTCTATTTAATATTCCAAGCCATTCACAAATAACTCAACAATGCCCATTGACGGTATCGGCTCCAAAATGGTTAGTAACGTGTGTTTGCATGACGCATGCCTTAAAATCTGTGTCTCAGTCAAAATGTGCAAATTTTAAATCCCCCAAGCTTCAGGCTATGGGCAAAACTTCAGAAATCCATGCAAATTTGGGAGCAGGAAATGTGTAGTTTCCTCATCCAGAGGCAATTTGTTTAGTCCCTGGTTGCACAAAACATACAGAAATTGTAAACTGAGAAGAATCTTGGAGAGCTTGAAGATCAGTTGTTCACCTACTCTGAATTAGTCATTTCACACAGATACACAGATATGTATTCCAATGATATTGATGTATTCTCCCACATATTTACTAGTGGCACCACCCAAAAAAAATTACAGAAAATTTGGAAGCACTAACCTTGCTTTATCCCACATTTGCAACTGGCATTCATTTGCGGTTACTCACACACTCATGAAATGAACACGTGTCAGTAGAAAAATAATTTCTGGGAATTGTCCACCCTGCATTATAGGGTTTAGTTCATGCCACCTACAGCTTTGAGCTGTGAAAAATGCCAGTGTTTTGGCTCCACCCCTTCTGTTTCCAGACCCGCCTACAAGTGGGGTGCAGCCCTCGAATTTGCCTCTTGATCTGGAAGAGATTCTGCACCCCTATAATAAGTGA